AAAAATGTCAAATATATCTAAGGATGCTAATTCGTTCATGAAAAGCTCTCGTGGAAATACAATATCGCAAACAGGGAAAACATTTTGGCGTTATTGCTATACTACATCACATTCTTTACCACTCTACACTTAACCAAAAATAAAGGACACCTATTCAGCCTTATTTATTATATTTGACAGCACGGAATTCGTCTTTTTCTTCAATAACGCATGCCTTCCTCTTAATACACATCACAGTCCGGCAGATCTCACACAATACCTTTTCAGTAACTTGGTAGCCGGCCATTAGCTAACTCGGTAAAGCACTTGACTGCAAAGCCGCCAGAGTAATACCGAGTAATACGCCCCTCGCGTTTCCCTCGCGCCCAAAACCCCCTTTCCCTTCCCTTTGAAACGCCTGCCACGCAGGCTATAAAATATCTGGGTGAAAGCATTTGCCTTTGCCAGCATACGGCCAGTCCTTGTTGTGACTCGGATGAACACCTTAAATGCCCCTCCAGTCTCCAGCATAGGAGAGGTGGAATTTATTAGGTATCCTCAATTAGTACTTTCGTGCTAAACATTTACAATCAAATGAAGAGTTGTTTCCTTTCCTTACTCTGACTCTTTTAATTTTCCTCCCTTCGATAGCTTTACAGTTTTATCACCCCCTAAAAATACATTTTCTCCTCAAGCTAATATTCTTCACTAGCGGTAAACAAGATTCAAGCTTCAAATTTCCAATAATTTACCTTCCAAGTTCATTTTTAATGCCATTTTACTCCAGAAACTCCATGTGTTTTACTCTGAAGAATTTCAGAAAAAAATTGTCTATTGAATATGCTTTTAAGTTGATTGAGAATGTACCTGAAATAAATTACATTCTTGACATACGCATTCTAAACCTTTATCTCATTATGCTGTTTGTAACTAAAATAAACTTTTATAGTTAACTTATTCAAAAATTTTTATCTCCTTTTCTCTCAGTTTTGGAAATTTACTTGTCATATATCATAGATGTAGCCACTGCTCGCATTTACCTGCGGCTAGTGCACATTTGTTTAAAATTCCTTGAGAATTTTCCGGTTCCTCTTCTTTCATTCCACAACAAGGGAAGACAGGTATCTGAATATATTTGTTGAACTAAATCCTATTCACATGTCAGCTCTCGAGGGCAGCGAAAATTCATTTAAGAAGTGCCTTCCCTAATTCTAAACTTCAGCTGAATCTCTTGGTCAAACATAGAGGAACTCTCCCGTCGTTGAACTCCTAAGAGCCATATCCAAGTCAAGAAAGAGAAAAGAAAGTTCGTGGTCGTCAGCCTTTACGCCCTCCACAAAAACGCCAAATTAGGAAATTTTACTTCGAAGTCCCAGGGATGCATTGACGGCAAAGAAGTATACAAAAAAAGTGTAGTGTGAGTGCAGAGTTGCTTTTCTGGCGCTCTAGTTGCCGTTGTCGAAACAGCGAGCGGTGTTTTATCTCAACTAAAAACGCGTTGAGCTCTTTTTGGGGAGTTTGCTAAACTTCATGAAAATATGATGTTACATTTCCACTTTATTTTTAACTTAGAACTAGAAGTTCAGAGTTATTACTTACCTAAACTCTGTCCGAAGGCAGAAGCCCATTCGAGAAGGTGTTACGAAAGAAAACCAAGGAAAATTAAAACTTGTGCGGTAATAAGACACCTGTAGTCAATTGATTTTGGAGTCTACAGAGAAGAGAAGTGTGACGTTACGTTACCATGGTAGCAACATTTCAGGATCACAACAATGGAGAGCTTTAGCAACAACGACGGCGACGGCAACGAGAACGGCAAAAAAAACAATCGGTTTATATCAGCAAAACAACAACTTTGCACGTGCATCACGCTTTTTTGTACATTTCTTAGTCGTCGTTGCAAGTCTGCGACTTGAAACTTCCTAATTTCAAGCGCCCACTTTATGGAGTTGGTGAACACAGCACAATAATTTTTTTTTCTTTTTCTAAACTCAGATACAGTCCTTTGGGATTCAATCCCCGACAATTTCGCCAAGATTTAAAAAATAAAAAGAAATTGAATAAGATCGATTAAGTTTGAAACAGTGCGCGGAATTCACTTTTTAAGAGACGTTTTCGCTTTGTTGTCATCCAGAAATTTTGCTACCATGGCAACGTGACCTAACGACTTCTCCTCTCTTTTAGCCGAAGAAAAAAAGCGGAGCTAGATATTTGTTAACATAATACGGCTATTTATTATCATTCGACAAATCTTCGGATTTCTTACATTTTATTTACTGAAATTTTAATTTTAAGACTATTCAATAAATGTATGAATACATGCAAGAAGATCATCAAAAGATTTCAAGTTGCGAAGTCTTACACAATGTGTGCGCTATCCTTTAATAAAAGAAATAAAATATTTTGAGCTGTTGCGGCATGGTTCCTATTAAAGTTTTATGAATCAGAGCAGGCAAACTGATATGCAGTTGTAAGCTAATGGTTTCCTTTTAAAGTACTTATTCACTGTAAAGCAATGGAAACCGCGGTAAAATGTTTTTAAGCTTTTTTAAACAGCTTTGTAGTAGTTTGTTTAAGATTGAATCAACGTCAATAGTCCTAAATCGATCGCAGATCATGACTATCTAATAAATATGCATATTTTGTTAAAATGCTATTTAGGAACGGTTTGCTTCTACCAATGATCCTGAAAATTGAACTACAAATGTAACTTAATGATCTTAGCAATACAAGACATTTTAGAAGCTCAAATTTTCGTCACGTGACTGATAATTGAGAATTAACGGTCAAAATATTTACTCTAAAATGGGGAAAGGATAAAGAAAGAGCGAAAAGTTCAGAGGCTATAAAAAAGGGTCTGTAAAATTCGCCTTGTATGTGTGTTTACGTTATATAGGAATACAAAGGGGTAAACTTTTGTTCCTATATAAACGCTTGTTATTGAAAGTTTTTTTAAATATGCTCTATTGACCACGTAAATACAAAGCATAAAGCACAAACCAACTGACTAAACAAGCTTATGACAATGACTAAGGTCGAATAAGATACGAAAACAGAGTTAAGTTATTACAACATTTCCTACGAAACACTTAGTAAACAATAACAATACAATCTATTGTATCTAACTCTAACTCAAACTAAGTAATCATAACAAGTAACAATTGTTATGCAAAAAATGGAAAAAACTATTATCTACCTTTAAAAAAAAAAGAAACAAGTTCACTCGACTGGAAGGATGACCCTAACCCGTTTTTTTTTTACTAATGGCCGATAAAATCTTATACAATATTTTTTATACTGTTAGCCTGGGTTCCCGGCGAATGTACTTTTTTTACCAGTTGCAACTACGTCTGTCCCGAATGTGCTCGGAAAATGCTGGAAAGTTGCGCACTGGAGTGCCAAAAAGTTGCTATAAAGGTGCTCTTTAAATTTCTTGATATTTTCTTATGTTAAAAGAAGTCAAAGTTCTATTTTTCATTCTTCACAATAATTGCTTACATGGTCACGAAAATTAGCTTGAAACTTAAGCTTTAAAGGGTTACTTCCAAATATGGGCGAAAATTAAGGATACTATAGGGGTATCCAGACACCGAGAGACAGATGAAAGCATAATTAGTTTTTCATAAAGCAGCAATTAAAAGAGGTTGTGTGAAAATTATTCTTTTTCTCTATAATTTAGCGAAAATCTTTCCTTTTAATTAGCATTTCTTGTGTTTGTTTGTGTGCTGATCACGTTTTAGGTCTGTCAGGATGCGGAGACTACCCCACTAAGCTAACTAATAATTCATACAGCAAAAATTTATAAGACGTTTTAAGTTATGAGAAGTATTGCGTCTTTGCTTTATAAATTAGCAAAATGCGCGTTGAATTTCGCTTTTAAGCTAACTTTAAGGCTTTCTTCTGTTTATTTACGTATTGACTGCGTTTTAGGCCTACGAAACGTTGTCGAGTGGAAGGTCATTGCACCCCACTGTTGCCCGTTAACTTCCTTTCGTTCTGAGTTTGTAATTTAGTTCGGGGAGAGGAATGACTCCCATTGCAATTGTTTTTTCAAAGGAGAATAAAGCCAGTCAATTTCTTTTGAATGTTTAGGAAAATACCACCAAGTTAAATCAAAACATCAAACTCTAAACGCCCTAAAAATGGATATAATGATAGGGAAAAATTAACGAAGAGAACCTTAAATTCTAACTAACTCCAAAATCAAATCAAAAAACTTATGTAGTGGGGGATTGGAAGTGAGGATCAGCAATTTACTAGTGGTTCGTACTATGTTTTTCATCAGTCTTATATAACTGCTCAAGTTGAATACCTAACCAAGATTCGTGTCTGAAATAAGTTTATGGCAAGCTTGTAAGTGATCAAAATTGATGTGCCCAAAGTGGCCTGAGTAATGGTCAACCAAACGCAACTGGGCATTTTTACCAGCGTAACCTGTTACATTCCAGCTTTTCTCTCTCATAGCTTCATCACACTCCTTCGGTGTCTCCTCGCCAACCACCTTCCCAGCAATAATAAGCTCAGCACGAATGTTTGGAACTGTATGACCTCCGCAGCCTGCTCCAATCAGGAAGGTAAGCAACTTTCCAGTTATCTGAAAACTGGGTGACGTCATTGAGCCTTGAGGACCATCACCTTGCTGTCCCCCAAACGGTGCAGAGGGACTGAACCGATTCTCGAAGGTACCAATCCACCAATCCCCTTTGTGGTTGCTCCAAACCCTCTCCGGCCTTGATAACGTGTTATTCCCGTATGTTGGCTGATTATTGAATGCAGTGCCTTTCAAAGTCCAGTTTGACAAATCATGGTCTTCGAAGTCAAATATAGTGTAACATTCTAAGGGAACAATATATTCAGCACGTTATTTTAAAAAATCGCTGTAGCACACCGTGAGATTGCCGTGAGGGTAATAATGAAGTTTTCGCATACATTTGTGTATCCATGATGCTATTTCCATGCTATTAAAGATCTCTAACCAGCGTTTCCTTCACTGGAAAATTATCAAATTTTGAAATTTTTATACGAGCAATAGAAAACTATTTAGGCATGATATATTTTTGTATATACAATCTTGTTTAACCTTTTAATACCTACGATCAATGTCGGAAAATTCAAAGTAAACGTCAGTTTCCCCCTGAATGCAATATATTTGAGTGACTATTAGGCTCCTCTAAACAATACGATTCTATTTAAGGGACTAGTTTGTTTCGCGGAAGAATTAAATAAAATGCTTTTTGTGTCTCACTTGTTGCTTCTTTAACTCTCTTTTAAGTATTTGGTGTGTTTACCCGCATTTCAAGCTCACATAGATTCCACGAACGTATATTTTGTTGATAAGTGAAGAATAATTGTGACAAGGGAATGTAATTTTTTTTGAAAGCCGGTCTTAACAATTCAGCATTATTTAATTGTGTTATAGGGAAAACCTGATAAGGAGGCTTATCAAAGTTTGCGGGAAAAAATTGTAGTAATCAAGGCTTTACGCCTCTTCCACAATCGCCTGATCTGAGGAATGTGAGACTTTATAATGCCCCTGTGGAGAAAACGGAATAAAACACTGCGATACCTGTGCAGTTGTATCCGTCTCCATAGTAACCAATATTGCAGGTGCATCTGAAAGATCCTTCTGTATTGGTACAAGTTGCGTTCGTTCCACATCTCTTTTCCTGACATTCGTCTATATCTAGAATAATTTTTTAAGACCGTGAATCCTTTCAACACCACGCATCTCCAGTACCATTATCCTTTATCAAGGAAGATCACTTCTCCCTTTTTAAGTCCAATATCCCCTCTCTCTTTTCCATTTTAACTAAAGACAAACTACCGTGAAATTCGGGTTATAATAAATAGCAATAAATAAATATTAATTTTGAAGCGCCAAAAATTATTGTCAAGGGCTTTACACCATGCAAATCACACTAGCTGAAATCGGTATGTATTTAACTTTTATTTGAAAAGTTTCTGCATTTGAACAACCGTGAGAGAAAGTTTGTTTAAAAAAAGGGCCAGAATGGGAAAAGGCACAGTCACCAAAGGAATTGCCAACAAAAACCAGGGGCACTCGTCTTCAATATTGCTTGCAAGGAGCTGAAAATTCCACAAATTGTTCAACTTAACCAGCTCTTTCAACTTTTCCATTTAGTTCGTATATACGCCCACGGCTTCAATGATTTAAGTCGTATGGTAATAAGGAAAAATGTAAACAATGACGTCAGCAAAGATTCGCCTATAGGTGTGCGCTTTAGGGAGGTGCTCCTTGAGAGAGATTTGACTGTCAGCCCAGGCCTTAGAACCAGAATTTTATTCATAAATCAAACAAAAAAAGGAGAGATAGACGCATTCCCAAGTCTTCAGTGAAATGCTAATCTACTTAAAGTCAGCTAACGACAGAACAAAAATGCTGTGATACCTCTGCAGTTATATCCATCTCCACGGAAACCAGTCTTGCATTTGCATCTGTAAGATCCCTTTGAGTTTGTACAATTTGCGTTCTTGCTACAGTCGTGACTTTTTTCCTCACATTCGTCAATATCTAGGTGACGATAGTTATTACAAGAATCATTCAGTTACTTTGCAAAGCAAGCGCCGGAAATATCTGCACGATATCTGGACAGTGGAACTGGCAGCTTAAGTTATATAAGAGTAAGTTAGCTGTCAGAATCACAATGTGTTCGTTTAGACGAGTACTTGCCAGTCCACCGACAATTTGACTTAAAGACCCTGATAAATGTAACTCACTAATTAGCGCAAAATAACAACTGAGATCGAGAATTGTAGGCCAAACGGAGGTGAGAGTAAAGGGCAACGTGTTGCAAATCCACTCTAAAGTAAAGGGAATATTCTTTCATCTATGCGCGAGCTTCCGAAAATGCGGGAGCCGGAAAGCTCAGTTTCATTCTTCCGTCTGGAAGGTCCTGCGCTTGATGCACTTGTGATGGTTTTGTCGACAATGATAGGGCTAATATTACAGTGGATATACTTTTTTTCAAATTTATGTTCTCACTTACGGTTTCCCCCTTTTAATTAAACGCGGTACAGCTTACGTGGTTTCATGACTACTGCGTTCACTTAGCCCATTTCTCAGACCTACCATCTTGGCATCTTGCACCTGTAAAGCCTCGACACAAGCAGTGATATCCTTTCTTGGTAAATCCTGATTGACAAGTCCCGTTATTTTTACATGGAGAACTACCACAAGGATTCTGGGGAAAAGATTATGGAAAAGAGATATTGCTTTATGCTTCTGAGCCTTTCTAAACCTTTGCGAGAGGTGTCCGCCTCATCATGATTCAAGGAAAATGAGTAAAGATTGGCAGAGCCCAACTCTAAGCGTCGGGTTTAGGGATTAGCCCGTCTTACATACATACGGGGGCGCTGTTTTGAGGTGTTAAACAAGTTAAATTGAATTTTTCATCTTATTTAAGTAGCAAAAAACCCTTGCTTTTGGGAGGCGCTTGCAGTTTAAGGGCGGAGGTAATTACAAAAATTTTCGATCTTAAAATAACAATAAAGTGAAATTTCTCAAAAACGGCGACAGTTGAAACAAAACCGTCCAGGGAGAAAAACTTGCTTTTCAGAGAGGAAATGAGAATGGCTGGCGAAAGGAAGAGAGCTAGTGTAGTTGTCAGATTTAGTGGGGGGGTGGGGGAAGGTTCAGAAGAAAGATGGTTAGCGTTTACTCCATTGCGATAAATCGGAATTTTCAATGACATCCAATATGACGGCCAACATTGCTGCCATCATAGATGACGTCATTGGCCCTCAGCTTGTCAAATTCCATAATATTCACATCATCCCGTGCAGTTATCACAAACAGAAACTATCAACTCAATTTTTGAATATTGTAACACAGCCAAGCCCAAAGCCTGAGATCCAGCCATTTTCCTTTGGACGAGGCGTTGGGTTATGGTATTAATAGGCTCGGAGACTGAATAACGTTAAAATTTAAATTAATGATCTTACGTTTGTTCCGCGGTAAAGGAAATTTGGTGCCTGAACAAAGTCTTTATCGTGTTCTCCGTGTGTAGAATTGTTCAATTCACAGCTGTATTTTCCATTTCCAACCATTTTGTTTTCAAAATTAAGGCTGACACAATCGTGCTCGTAGTAACACCTCAACTCACACTCATCCAGATCGCGAACTTTTAAAGTTTTTATGGTGTGGTTCATCAGGCGCTTGTCGGCAAAGAAAAGAAAACTTGGGAACGCCAATTCACGACAAGGACCTTAAGAAAAAAAATAGCAAAACTATATTTCTAACACTTGTAATAGAGTTCATTTGGGTTTCCTATTCAAATTTAAATAAGGATTCCGTATATTATTCAGCGGTTAGGCATTCTCTCTATCTTTGAAACGCGTTTCTCTCTCTTTAAATGAAATTATAGAGCACTTTCTTCACTTTAGACTTCCATTACTTTGAAGTCTGCAAATGTGAAAATTATCTCTCAACCGAGTCTGACATATGCCCAGTGTCAGGTTAACTGAGTTTATACACCTTTTAAATGAAGCAGGTGAACGCACGATGTGTATATATCAGGTAATTTTTGTTTTTCCTTTGTTTCAATTCATTACCATACATTACCATATTCAAAAACAATGGAAAAATAAAAATTAACTGAGATAAAAAATTAACTACAACATATATATATATATATATCTAAGGAATTTGTGCCAAAGTTTATAGAGTATAGTTTAGGCAAGTTTATTGCGTTGTACACAAATTTACCTATGAAAGTAGGGAGAAGATTGACTAGATATTAATTTAACTACGTTTTACTGTGTTACTGTTTCTAATTCATATTGCAAACGATATTAAACGGAAGGTAGGCATCAAAACCTTTACAGAATAGCTGGGTAGCAAAAATGCTAACAAATCAGGCATTTCTTGTAAACCTTCGAGTTTTAAAAAAGGAACTTTTTCAAAGGAAATTTTTTTAAAAAGATCTACCAGATCGCACTTGAATTGGGCTGTTTGTATGATATTTAAACAGCCAGATCTTTCCGCGTACATCCAATTGTGATATGTCATCCTGTCAACATGTAGATTACAAGGGTGTTGTATAACACAACTCAACCTATTTAAAACGTGTTTTTTTTTGAAGATTTAAGCAAAGTTTGGTTCTAACTGGTATTAATCTGCCATTTAAGTCTTGCTAAATTTGTCCCTTCGATTTTCGCGAAATTATTTATTTACTAGTAACGCCTAACCTACGAAGCTGAAGATTGATTAGGAACCATTAGGTCGCGAGTAAAACTTACAGAAATAACAATAACGCAGTGAAGAAAACTCAAATGGTATCTCTCTGTTTGGCGTGAAAACTGCCTCCACTGAGAATCTTGTTTTAAGAAAATTTCTAAAGAGCATGAAAGTTATTTAACACTTAAGGCACTTATTTAGGGCACTAACGAAACTTACCGTCATTTAAGCAGGCTGACACTTGTGTCCAAGTAGACAGCAAAAAGTGAATACAAAAAAGTAGCAAATTAGCAAGCATTGTGCATCGTTCTCTTCACGTACAGATTCACGCAGAACATTGAAGAAAACAAGAGTTAAGACTGAGTAGGTTAATTATCACCTGCGTAACTGAACAAACATCGAGGTTAATATAGACCCGTCTACAAGAATCAACACATTTTTGAATTCGCATATCTTGTTACCCGGATTCGTGTGGAGGGGACCTTAAGCTCCTTAGGAGATCGGTTTAAAAAAGATGCGCTTTCGGTGAGCGGATTGACTGGTTTCGTGTGAATGGAAAACCGATTCGTGTAAAAAATATGCGGATTTAAAACTATCCGGTTTCATGTGGACGTGGCCTTATAAATCTTTCGTCTGTTTTTGGCCAATGAAAATGATGTTCTGAGTTGTCGTTACGTATCACAAGTTACAGCTGCCTTTAGCAGATGTTCAAATTTCGAATTTCGCACCCACCCCTCCCCTAAGACACAATTTTGCCCTAAGTGAGAAATACGTGTTAATGTTGACTTAGGGGAGGGGTAGGTGGTCAGTTACCCAGAAACCTCGATTGATCCGAATTTTCTACAAAAAATTTGCATAACTGCTAAGTGACACTTAACTAAAAAATTAATGAAGCTAAGTTTTGACAAACCATGGCCATGATCGAGCAACTACATCCAGGGTACGAGAAATGCTCGATAAAATATCCCCAAGTTTTATCACTTTATACCACACAATTCCTCTTATTTAAAATTCAAACAGGAAATTTTAAGTAGTCAGGTGTCTTGATAATCTGTTGTGTATCATGGTTGAAAATTTGGCGTATACAATGTTTGTTCTCCTTGTCAGGTAAACTATTTTGAGTGATAGACTAAACAAGGCAATTTGTAGTGAACACAACCTCCACTGACGTTATACCGTTGTTCGTTCAGCGATATTTACACAGTGCTCTCTCAATCAGTGGCTAATTTTCAAAGTTAATTAGTATTGCAATCACTAATGCTCCGCTAAGCTGCCACAGAATTCAATACAGTGTATTCTGGATATAACGAAGGACCAAGAGACTGACAATGTTTGCTAAACAGTAAAAAACGAGAGCTACTTAATTGCCATCTATACGGAAAAAACGGGGAATTTAGGTTGGAAAATCAAATGATTCGCGCCATTCCGTTTGGAAAGCTTCAGAAAACATGGGTTGTGTTTTTCGCGATGCAATTTTCTACACTTTGCAGTCTCTCCAGCAGGTTATTTGGATATTAACTTTCTGGCGGTGCGTTCGCCCCCGCAAGTGCGATGTTTTTGCGAGCACGAGCAGAGATAAAAAATTTGCTTTCGAGCAGCGAGCAGTTTAGAGAGTACAACTCGCGAGCAGCGAGCACTTCTTATATTTTCCGCTTGCAGCAATCCATATGGAAAACCTTTTCTTTAAAATAAAACACAAAATAGTTTAAAACGGGGTTTTCATTTAGAGCTTTTTTAAACAGCTTTGTAGTAGTTTGTTTAAGATTGAATCAACGTCAATAGTCCTAAATCGATCGCAGATCATGACTATCTAATAAATATGCATATGCTGAAAATTGAACTACAAATGTAACTTAATGGCCTTAGCGATACAAGACATTTTAGAAGCTCAAATTTTCGTCACGTGACTGATAATTGAGAATTAACGGTCAAAATATTTACTCTAAAATGGGGAAAGGATAAAGACAGAACAAAAAGTTCATAAAGATTCATTTCAGAGGTTAGAAAAAAGAGTCTGAAAAATTCGTCTTCTATGTGTGTTTACGTTATATAGGAATGCAAAGGGGTAAACTTTTGTTCTTATATAAACGCTTGTTATTAAAAGTTTTTTTAATATGCTTTATTGACCACATAAATACAAAGTATAAAGCACAAACCAACTAACTAAACAAGCTGATGACAATGACTAAGGTCGAATAAGATACGAAAACAGAGTTAAGTTATTACAACATTTCCTACGAAACACTTATAACAATACAATTTATTATATCTAACTCTAACTTAAACTAAGTAATCATAACAAGTAACAATTGTTAAGCAAAAAATGGAAAAAACTATTATCTACCTTTAAAAAAAAAGAAACAAGTTCACTCGACTGGAAGGATGACCCTAACCCGTTTTTTTTTTTTACTAATAGCCGATAAAATCTTATACAATATTTTTTATACTGTTAGCCTGGGTTCCCGGCGAATGTACTTTTTTTACCAGTCGCAACTACGTCTGTCCCGAATGTGCTCGGAAAATGCTGGAAAGTTGCGCATTGGAGTGCAAAAAAGTTGCTTAGAAAGGTGCACCCTAAATTTCTTGATATTTTTTATATTAAAAGACGTTAAAGTTCTATTTTTCATTCTTCACAATAATTGCTTACATCGGTCACAAAAATTACCTTGAAACTTAAGCTTTAAAGGGTTACTCCCAAATAGGGGCGAAATTTAAGGAAACTATAGGGGTATCCAGACACCGAGAGATAGATGAAAGCATAATTAATTTTTCATAAAGCAGCAATTAAAAGAGGTTGTATGAAAATTATTCTTTTTCTTTATAATTTAGCGAAGATCTTTCCTTTAGCATTTCTTGTGTTTGTTTGTGTGCTGATCACGTTTTAGGTCTCTCAGGATGCCGAGACTACCCTACTAAGCTAAGTAATTATTCATACGGCAAAACTTTATAAGACGTTGTATGAGAATTACCCCGTCTTTGCTTTATAAATTAGCAAAATTTGCATTGAATTTAGCTTTTAATCTTAACTTTAAGGCTTTCTTGTGTTTATTTATGTATTGTGGACTGCGTTTTAGGCCTGCGAAATGTTGTCGAATGGAAGGTCATTGCGCCCCGCTGTTGCCCGTTAACTTCCTTTCGTTTTGAGTTTGTAATTTAATCCGGAGAGAGGAATGACTCCCATTGCAATTGTTTTTTCAAAGGAGAATAAAGCCGGTCAATTCCCTTTGAATGTTTAAGAAAATACAACCGAGTTAATTCAAAACATCAAACTCTAAACGCCCTAAAAAATGGATATAATGATACAGAAAAATTAACGAAGAGAACTATAAATTCTAACTAACTGCAAAATTAAATCAAAAAACTTATGTAGTGGGGGATTGGAAATGAGGAACCGAAGTTTACTAGTGGTTGGTACTATGTTTTTCATCTTACATAGCTTCTCAAGTTGAATACTTAACCAAGAGAAGTCAAGAATCCGGGTCTGCAATAAGTTTATGGCAAGCTTGTAAGTGATCAAAATTGATGTGACCCCAGCCCGCTGAGGAAGTGTCAACCAAACGCAACTGGGCATTTTTACCAGCGTAATCTGTTACATTCCAGCTTTCCTCTTTCATAGCTTCATCACACGTCCTCGGTGTCTCGTCACGAACCACTTCCCCACGAATAATAAGCTCAGCACGAATGTTTGGAAAACTCTTGTGGCAGCCTGATCCAATCAGGAAGGTAAGCAACTTTCCAGTAATCTGAAAACTAGGTGACGCCAATGAGCCTTGAGGACCATCGCCTTGCTTTCTCCCAAACGGTTCAGAGGGACTGGACCGATTCTCATAGGTACCAATCCACCAATCCCCTTTGTGGTTGCTCCAAGCCCTCTTCTTCCTTGATAACGTGTTATTCTCGTATGTTGGCTGATTATTGAATGCTGTACCATTCAAAGTCCAGTTTGACAAATCATGGTCTTCGAAGTCAAATATAGTGTAACATTCTAGGGGAACAATATACACGGCACGTTATTTTAAAAAATGGCTGTAGCACGCCGTGAGATTGCCGTGAGGGTAATAATGAAGTTTTCACATAAATTTGTGTATCCATGATGCTATAAGAGACCTCGAACCAGTGTTAACTTCACTGGAAAATTATCAAATTTTTAAATTTTTATACGAACGATAAAAAATTATTTAGGCATGATAATTTTGTATATACAATCTTGTTTAACCTTTTAATACCTTCGATCAATGTCGGAAAATTCAAAGTAAACGTCAGTTTCCCTCTGAATGCAATATACCTGAGTGACTATTGGGCTCCTCCAAACAATACGATGGTATTTAAGGGACTAGTTTGTTTCGCGGAAGAATTAAATAAGATGCTTTTTGTGCCTCACTTGTTGTTTCTTTATCTCACTTTTAATTATCTGGTATTTTTACCCGCATTTCAAGCTCACATAGACTCCACGAACGTATATTTTGTTGATGAGCGAAGAATGATTGTGACAAGCTAATGTAATTTTTTCTTAAAGCCGGCCCTAACACTTCAGTATTATTTAATTGTGTTATAGGTAGAACCTGATAAGGAGGCTTATCAAGGTTTGTGGGAAAATAATTGTAGTAATCAAGGCTTTACGCCTCTTCTACAATCGCTTGATCTGGGGAATGTGAGACTTCATAAGATCTCTGTGGAGAAAACGGAATAAAACACTGGGATACCTGTGCAGCTGTATCCGTCTCCATAGTAATCATCATTGCAGGTGCATCTGAAAGATCCTTTTGTATTGGTACAAGCTGCGTTCGTTCCGCATCTGCTTTCCTGACATTCGTCTATATCTAGGATAATTTTGTAACACTGTGAACCCTTTCAACCCCCACATCTCCAGTACCATTATCCTTTATCAAGGACGATGACTTCTCTCTTTTTTAAGTCCAATATCCCCTCCCTCTTTTCCATTTCAACCAAAGACAAACTAGCGTGAAATTCGGGTTATAATAAACAGAAATGAATAAACATTAATTTTGAAGCGCCAAAAATTATTGTCAAGGGCTTTACACCATGCTAATCACGCTAGCTGAAATCCGTGTTTATTTAACTTTTATTTGAAATGTTTTTAAATTTGAACAACCGCCAGAGAAACTGTTTGTTTGGAAAAAGGGCCAGAATGGGAAAAGGCACAGTCACCAAAGGAACTGCCAACAAAAACCCGGAGCACTCGTCTTCATCCTACCAACCTTACCAACCCGCCGCGCACCGGATACAATCCGCACACTCCGATCTACTCTCTGGATACGGGTCACTCATTTTCACAGACCAAATAGCACGCGGCACGAAAAACATTGAAAATTATGCATTAAAGCATACAACACAGAATAAAACACTGTCGATACCTTCTTACAGTAGTGCCAGCCTTTCAGTTCAGTACTTTTATCATAGTTATCCTTTTATGTCGAACCATATTGATTTTTGTTGAATATCTAAACATAACAAGACATATCGAATCTCAATGCCAGTCTTTCCCGCCCGCAGGAATCAACTCTACAGGTCTGCGCTTTAGGGAGGTGTTCCTTGAGAGAGATTTGACTGTCAGGCCAGGACTTAGAACCAGATTTTTATACATTAATCAAACAAAAAGAGAGAGAGAGACGCATTCACAAGTCTTCAGTGCAATGCTAATCTGCCTGAAGTCAACTAACAACAGAACAAAAATGCTGGGATACCTGTGCAGTTGTAGCCATCTCCAGAGAAACCAGTCTTGCATTTGCATCTGTAAGATCCCTTTGTGTTTTTACAATCTGCGTTCTTGCTACACTCATGACTTTTTTCATCGCATTCGTTAATATCTAGGTTGAGATAGTTAAAAGAAGACTCATTTAGTTACTTTGCAAAGAAAACGATAACTGGACAGTGGAACTGCATCGTTTACACGACAAGTCGACAGTTAACAAATTAACTCAACTTAAAATCATAACTCAGATCGAGAATTTTAAGCTAAACGAAGGTGAAAGTAAAAAGAAACGTGTCACAAATCCAGTCCAAAGTAAAAGGAAAACTCTTTCATCTATGCGCAAGCTCCCGAAAACGCTGCTTCCGTCTGGAAGGCCCTACGCTTGATGCGCTTGTGACGGTTTTGTCGACAATGATAGGGCCAATATTACAGCGGATATACTTTATTTCAAATTAATGTTCTCACATGCGGTTTCTCCCTTTTAAGTGCGGCACACCTTGCGGGGTTTCATGACTACTGCGTTAATTTAGTCCATTTTTCAGACCTACCCATTTGGCATCTTGCACCTGTCCAGCCTCGACACAAGCAGTGATATCCTTTCTTGGTAAATCCTCATTGACAAGTTCCGTTATTTTTACATGGAGAACTACCACAAGGATTCTGGGGAAAAGATTATGGAAAAGAGAATTGCCTTATGTTTCTGAGCCTTTCTAAACCTTTGCGAGAGGTGTCTGCCTCATCATGATTCAAGGAAAATGAGTAAAGATTGGCAGAGCCCAACTCTAAGCGTCGGGTTTAGGGATTAGCGCGTCTTACATACATACGGGGGCGCTGTTTTGAGGTGTTTAACAAGTTAAATTGAATTTTTCATGTTATTTAAGTAGCAAAAATCGCTTTCTTTTGGGAGGCGCTTGCAGTTTAAGGGCGGAGGTAATTACAAAAATTTTCGATGTTAAAATAACAATAAAGTGAAATTTCTCAAAAACGGCTACAGTTGAAACAAAACCGTCCAGGGAGAAAAACTTGCTTTTCACAGAGTAAATGAGAATGGCTGGCGAAAGGAAGAGACCTAGTGTAGTTGTCAGATTTAGTGGCGGAGGGGGGAAGGGGGTTGGGGGGGGGGGAAGGTTCAGGCAGAAAGATGGTTAGCGTTTACTCCATTGCGATAAATCGGAATTTACAGTGACATCCAATATGAAGGCCAACATGGCGTCCATCATAAGTGATGTCATTTGCCCTCAGCGCGTCAAATTCCATAATATTCACATCATCCCGTGCAGTTATCACAAACAGAAACTATCAACTCAAATTTTGAATATTGTAACACAGCCCAGCCTAAAGCCTGAGATCCAGCCATTTTCCTTTGGACGAGGCGTTTTGTTATGGTATTAATAGGCTCGGAGACTGAATAACGTTAAAATTTAAATTAATGATCTTACGTTTGTTCCGCGGTAAAGGAAATTTGGTGCCTCCACAAAGTCTTTGTCGTGTTCTCCGTGTGTAGAATTGTTCAATTCACAGCTGTATTTTCCATTTCCAACCATTTTGTTTTCAAAATTAAGGCTGACACAATTGTGCTCGTAGTAACACCTCAACTCACACTCATCCAGATCGCGAACATTTAAAGTTGTTATGGTGTGGTTCATCAGGCGCTTGTCGGCAAAGAAAAGAAAACTTGGGAACGCCAATTCACGACAAGGACCTTAAGAAAAAAATAGCAAAACTATATTTCTAACACCTGTAATGGAGTTCATTTGGGTTTCCTATTCAAATTTAAATAAGGATTCCGTATATTGTTCAGCGGTTGGGCATTCTCTGTATCTTTGAAACGCGTTTCTCTCTCTTTAAATGAAATTGTAGAACACTTTATTCACTTCAGACTTCCATTACTTTGAAGTCTGCAAATGTGAAAATTATCTCTCAACCGAGTCTGACATATGCCCAGTGTCAGGTTAACTGAGTAAATCTTACTTTTTCTTTTACAAACTAATCAAACAAGTCCTTTGTTATACATAACTTTAAGGGGCACAATATTAGTTTATCTAGATGTGCCCCTCTCCTCTCCTTCCAATATACAATGTAATTTAATTTAAGTGTTGTAATTTCTATTTTACGCGTTTATTTCCTTTGTAAATCTTTATCTCTTACTGTATTATTTTTCTCAGTTATATTTACATAACTATGTATCAGCTAGGAATTGGAGGAATAAAAATAAAAAGTAAAATAAAAAAACTGAGTTTATACACCTTTTAAATGAAGCAGGTGAACGCACGATATGTATATATCAGGTAATTTTTGTTTTTCCTTTGTTTCAATTCATTACCATACATTATCATATTCAAAAACAATGGAAAAATAAAAATTAACTGAGATAAAAAATTAACTACAACATATATATATATCTAAGGAATTTATGCCGAAGTTTATAGAGTATAGTTTAGGCAAGTTTATTGCGTTGTACACAAATTTACCTATGAAAGTAGGGAGAAGATTGACTAGATATTAATTTAACTACGTTTTACTGTGTTACTGTTTCTAATTCATATTGCAAACGATATTAAACGGAAGATAGGCATCAAAACCTTTACAGAATAGCTGGGTAGCAAAAATGCCAACAAATCAGGCATTTCTTGTAAACCTTCGAGTTTTAAAAAACGAACTTTTTCAAAGGAAATTTTTTTAAAAAGATCTACCAGATCGCACTTGAATTGGGCTGTTTGTATGATATTTAAACAGCCAGATCTTTCCGCGTACATCCAATTATGATATATCATCCTGTCAACACGTAGATTACAAGGTTGTTTTATAACACAAATCAACCTATTTAAAACGTTTTAAGATTTAAGCAAAGTTTGGTTCTAACTGGTATTAATCTGCCATTTAAGTCTTGCTAAATTTGTCACTTCGATTTTCGCGAAATTATTTATTTACTAGTAAAGCCTAACCTACGAAGCCGAAGATTGATTAGGAACCATTAGGTCGCGAGTAAAACTTACAGAAATAACAATAACGCAGTGAAGAAAACTCAAATGGTATCTCTCTGTTTAGCGTGAAAACTGCCTCCACTGAGAATCTTGTTTTAAGAAAATTTCTAAAGAGCATGAAAGTTATTTAACACTTAAGGCACTTATTTAGGGCACTAACGAAACTTACCGTCATTTAAGCAGGCTGACACTTGTTTCCAAGTAGACAGCAAAAAGTGAATACAAAAAAGTAGCAAATTAGCAAGCATTGTGCGTCGTTCTCTTCACGTACAGATTCACGCAGAACATTGAAGAAAACAAGAGTTAAGACTGAGTAGGTTAATTATCACCTGCATCACTGAACAAACATCGAGGTCAATATAGACCCGTCTACAAGAATCAACACATTTTTGAATTCGCATATCTTGTTACCCGGATTCGTGTGGAGGGGACCTTAAGCCCCTCAGGAGATCGGTTTAAAAAAGATGCGCTTTCGGTGAGCGGATTGACTGGCTTCGTGTGAATGGAAGACTGATTCGTGTAAAAAATATGCGGATTTAAAACTATCCGGTTTCATGTGGACGTGGCCGTATAAAACTTTCGTCTGTTTTTAGCCAATGAAAATGATGTTCTGAGTTGTCGTTACGTATCACAAGTTACAGCTGCCTTTAGCAGATGTTCAAATTTCGAATTTTGCACCCACCCCTTCCCTAAGACACAATTTTGCCCTAAGTGAGAAATATGTGTTGATGTTGACTTAGGGGAGGGGTAGCTTGTCAGTTACCCAGAAACCTCGATTGATCCGAATTTTCTACAAAACATTTGCATAACTGCTAAGTGACACTTAACTAAAAAATTAATGAAGCTAAGTTTTGACAAACCATGGCCATGATCGAGCAACTACATCCAGGGTACGAGAAATGCTCGATAAAATATCCCCAAGTTTTATCACTTTATACCACACAATTCCTCTTATTTAAAATTCAAACAGGAAATTTTAAGTAGTCAGGTGTCTTGATAATCTGTTGTGTATCATGGTTGAAAATTTGGCGTATACAATGTTTGTTCTCCTTGTCAGGTAAACTATTTTGAGTGATAGACTAAACAAGGCAATTTGTAGTGAACACAACCACCACTGACGTTATACCGTTGTTCGTTCAGCGATATTTACACAGTGCTCTCTCAATCAGTGGCTAATTTTCAAAGTTAATTAGTATTGCAATCACTAATGCTCCGCTAAGCTGCCACAGAATTCAATACAGTGCAATCTGGATATAACGAAGGACCAAGAGACTGACAATGTTTGCTAAACAGTAAAAAACGAGGGCTACTTAATTGCCATTTATACGGAAAAAACGGGGAATTTAGGTTGGAAAATCAAATGGTTCGCGCCATTCCGTTTGGAAAGCTTCAGAAAACATGGGTTGTGTTTTTAGCGATGCAATTTCCTAGACTTTGCAGTCTCTCCAGCAGGTTATTTTGATATTAACTTTGTGGCGGTGCGTTCGCCCCCGCAAGTGGGATTTTTTTGCGAGCACGAGCAGAGATAAAAAATTTGCTTTCGAGCAGCGAGCAGTTTAGAGAGTACAACTCGCGAGCAGCGAGCACTTCTTATATCTGCTTGCAGCAATCCATATGGAAAACCTTTTCTTTAAAATAAAACAGAAAATAGTTTAAAACGGGGTTTTCATTTAGAGCTTTTTTAAACAGCTTTGTAGTAGTTTGTTTAAGATTGAATCAACGTCAATAGTCCTAAATCGATCGCAGATCGTGACTATCTAATAAATATGCATATCCTAAAAATTGAACTACAGTGGAACCCCGCCTTACGACCACCCCGTTTATAAGACCACCTCGTTATTACGGCCATATTCTTTCAAACCAAACGTAAAAACCATTGAGTCATTTTCTTATTTTGAAGACCCCGTTAATGCGACCACCTCGTTATTACGACCAGGATTTTATGGCCCAACGGTGGTCGCATTAACGGGGTTCCACTGTACAAATGTAACTTAATGGCCTTATCGATACAAGACATTTTAGAAGCTCAAATTTTCGTCACGTGACTGATAATTGAGAATTAACGGTCAAAATATTTACTCTAAAATGGGGAAAGGATAAAGAAAGAACAAAAAGTTCATAAAGATTCATTTCAGAGGTTATAAAAAAGGGTGTGAAAAATTCGTCTTGTATGTGTGTTTACGTTATATACGAATACAAAGGGGTAAACTTTTGTTCTTATATAAACGCTTGTTATTAAAAGTTTTTTTAATATGCTTTATTGACCACATAAATACAAAGTATAAAGCACAAACCAACTAACTAAACAAGCTTATGACAATGGCTAAGGTCGAATAAGATACGAAAACAGAGTTAAGTTATTACAACATTTCCTACGAAACACTTAGTAAACAATAACAATACAATCTATTATATCTAACTCTAACTTAAACTAAGTAATCATAACAAGTAACAATTGTTAAGCAAAAAATGGAAAAAACTATTATCTACCTTTAAAAAAAAAGAAACAAGTTCACTCAACTGGAAGGATGACCCTAACCCGTTTTTTTTTTACTAATAGCCGATAAAATCTTATACAATATTTTTTATACTGTTAGCCTGGGTTCCCGGCGAATGTACCTTTTTTACCAGTTGCAACTACGTCTGTCCCGAATGTGCTCGGAAAATGCTGGAAAGTTGCGCACTGGAGTGCAAAAAACTTGCTAAGAAAGGTGCACCCTAAATTTCTTGATATTTTTTATATTAAAAGACGTTAAAGTTCTATTTTTCATTCTTCACAATAATTGCTTACATCGGTCACGAAAATTAGCTTGAAACTTAAGCTTTAAAGGGTTACTCCCAAATAGGGGCGAAATTTAAGGATACTATAGGGGTATCCAAACACCGAGAGATAGATGAAAGCATAATTAATTTTTCATAAAGCAGCAATTAAAAGAGGTTGTATGAAAATTATTCTTTTTCTTTATAATTTAGCGAAAATCTTTCCTTTAGCATTTCTTGTGTTTGTTTGTGTGCTGATCACGTTTTAGGTCTCTCAGGATGCCGAGACTACCCTACTAAGCTAACTAATTATTCATACCGCAAAACTTTAAAAGACGTTGTATGAGAATTACTCCGTCTTTGCTTTATAAATTAGCAAAATTTGCATTGAATTTAGCTTTTAATCTTAACTTTAAGGCTTTCTTGTGTTTATTTATGTATTGTGGACTGCGTTTTAGGCCTGCGAAATGTTGTCGAATGGAAGTTCATTGCGCCCCGCTGTTGCCCGTTAACTTCCTTTCGTTTTGAGTTTGTAATTTAATCCGGAGAGCGGAATGACTCCCATTGCAATTGTTTTTTCAAAGGAGAATAAAGCCGGTCAATTCCGTTTGAATGTTTAAGAAAATACCACCGAGTTAATTCAAAACATCAAACTCTAAACGCCCTAAAAAATGGATATAATGATAGAGAAAAATTAACGAAGAGAACTATAAATTCTAACTAACTGCAAAATTAAATCAAAAAACTTATGTAGTGGGGGATTGGAAATGAGGAACAGAAATTTACTAGTGGTTGGTACTATGTTTTTAATCTTACGTAGCTTCTCAAGTTGATTACTTAACCAAGAGAAGTCAAGAATCCGGGTCTGAAATAAGTTTATGGCAAGCTTGTAAGTGATCAAAATTGATGTGACCCCAGTCCCCTGAGGAATTGTCAACCAAACGCAACTGGGCATTTTTACCAGCGTAATCTGTTACATTCCAGCTTTGCTCTTTCATAGCTTCATCACACGCCTTTGCCGTCTTTTTGCGAACCACTTCCCCACCAATAATAAGCTCGGCACGAAGGTCTGGAAAACTCTTGTCGCAGCCTGATCCAATCAGGAAGGTAAGCAACTTTCCAGTAATCTGAAAACTGGGTGACGTCAATGAGCCTTGAGGAGCGTCAGTTTGCTTTCCCCCAAACGGTTCAGAGGGACTGGACCGATTCTCGTAGGTACCAATCCACCAATCCCCTTTGTGCTTGCTCCAAGACCTGTCCTTCCTTGATAACGTGTTATTCCCGTATGTTGGCTGATTATTGAATGCTGTACCATTCAAAGTCCAGTTTGACAAATCGTGGTCTTCGAAGTCAAATATAGTGTAACATTCTAGGTGAACAATATATACGGCACGTTATTTTAAAAAATGGCTGTAGCACACCGTGAGATTGCCGTGAGGGTAATAATGAAGTTTTCGCATAAATTTGTGTATCCATGATGCTATAAGAGACCTCGAACCGGTGTTAACTTCACTGGAAAATTATCAAATTTTTAAATTTTTGTACGAACGATAAAAAATTATTTAGGCATGATAATTTTGTATATACAATCTTGTTTAACCTTTTAATACCTACGATCAATGTCGGAAAATTCAAAGTAAACGTCAGTTTCCCTCTGAATGCAATATACCTGAGTGACTATTAGGCTCCTTCAAACAATACGATGGTATTTAAGAGGCTAATTTGTTTCGCGGAAGAATTAAATAAAATTCTTTTTGTGTCTCACTTGTTGCTTCTTTAACTCACTTTTAATTATTTGGTATTTTTACCCGCATTTCAAGCTCACATAGACTCCACGAACGTATATTTTCTTGATGAGTGAAGAATGATTGTGACAAGGTAATGTAATTTTTTCTTAAAGCCGGCCTTAACAATTCAGCATTATTTAATTGTGTTATAGGGAAAACCTGGTAAGGAGGCTTATCAAAGTTTGTGGGAAAAAATTGTAGTAATCAAGGCTTTACGCCTCTTTCTCAATCGCTTGATCTGAGGAATGTGAGACTTTATAAGGCCCCTGTGGAGAAAACGGAATAAGACACTGGGATACCTGTGCATTTGTATCCGTCTCCATAGTAACCAAAATTGCAGGTGCATCTGAAAGATCCTTCTGTATTGTTACAAGTTGCTTTCGTTCCACATCTCTTTTCTTGACATTCGTTTATATCTACAATAATTTTTTTTAACACCGTGAATCCTTTCAACCCCACGCATCTCCAGAACCATTATCCTTTATCAAGGAAGATCACCTCTCCCTTTTTAAGTCCAATATCCCCTCTCTCTTTTCCATTTTAACTAAAGACAAACTACCGTGAAATTCGGGTTATAATAAATAGCAATAAGTAAACATTAATTTTGAAGCGCCAAAAATCATTGTCAAGGGCTTTACACCATGCAAATCACGCTAGCTGAAATCGGTATGTATTTAACTTTTATTTGAAAAGTTTCTACATTTGAACAACCGCGAGAGAAAGTTTGTTTAAAAAAAGGGCCAGAATGCCCACGGCTTCAATGAGTTAAGTCGTATGGTAATAAGGAAAAATGTAAACAATGATGTCAGCAAAGATTCGCCTATAGGTGTGCGCTTTAGGGAGATGCTCCTTGAGAGAGATTTGACTGTCAGGCCAGGGCTTTGAACCAGAATTTTATTCATAAATCAAACAAAAAAAAAGGGAGAGATAGACGCATTCCCATGTCTTCAGTGAAATGCTAATCTACTTGAAGTCAGCTAACGACAGAACAAAAATACTGGGATACCTGTGCATTTATATCCATCTCCATGGAAACCAGTCTTGCATTTGCATCTGTAAGATCCCTTTGTGTTTGTACAATTTGCGTTCCTGCTACACTTGTGACTTTTTTCATCACATTCGTCAATATCTAGGTGATTATTACAAGAATCATTCAGTTACTTTGGAAAGCAATCGCCGGAAATATCTGCACGATATCTGGACAGTGGAACTGGCAGCTTAAGTTATATAAGAGTAACTTAGCTGTCAGAATCACAATGTCTTCATTTAGACGAGAACTTGCCAGTCCACCGAAAATTTGACTTAAAAACCCTGATAAATGTAACTCACTAATTAGCGCAAAATAACAACTGAGATCAAGAATTGTAGGCCAAACGGAGGTGAGAGTAAAGGGCAACGTGTTGCAAATCCACTCTAAAGTAAAGGGAATATTCTTTCATCTATGCGTGAGCTTCCGAAAATGCGGGAGCCGGAAAGCAGTTTCATTTTTCCGTCTGGAAGGTCCTCCGCTTGATGCACTTGTGATGGTTTTTTCGATAATGATAGGGCTAATATTACAGCGGATATACTTTTTTTCAAATTAATGTTCTCACTTGCAGTTTTCCCCTTTTAATTAAACGCGGTACAGCCTGCGTGGTTTCATGACTACGGCGTTCACTTAGCCCATTTTTCAGACCTACCATCTTGGCATCTTGCACCTGTCCATCCACAACACAAGCAGTGATATCCTTTCTTGGTAAATCCTGATTGACAAGTTCCGTTATTTTGGCATGGAGAACTACCACAAGGATTCTGGGGAAAAGATTATGGAAAAGAGAATTGCTTTATGTTTCTGAGCCTTTCTACATCCTTGCGAGAGGTTTCCTCCTCATCATGATTCAACGAAAATGATAAAAATTTTGGCAGAGACAACCTCTAAGCGTCGTTTTTAAGGATTAGTCCGTCTTACATACAGTGAGCGTTGTTTTGAGGTGTTAAACAAGTTAAATTGAATTGTTCATGTTACTTACGCAGCAAATGACGCTTTCTTTTGGGTGGCGCTTCCAGTTTAAAAGGTAATTAAAAATTCTCGATCTTAAAATAATTATAAAGTCAACTTTCTCTAAAACGACTACAGTTGAAACAAAACCGTCTAGGAGAAAAACTCGCTTTTTAGAGAGTAAGTGAAAATGGCTGGCTGACCTAGTGTAGATGTTCGATTTAGGGAGGGTTCAGAATAAAGATGGTTAGCGCTTACTCCATTGCGATAAATCTGAATTTTCAGTGACATCTAATATGAAGGCCAATATGGCGTCCATCATAAGTGATGTCATTTGCCCTCAGCGCGTCAAATTCCATAATATTCGCATCATCTCTTGCAGTTATCACAAACAGAAACTATCTACTCAATTTTTGAATATTGCAACACAGCCCAGCCCAAAGCCTGAGATCCAGCCATTTTCCTTTGGACGAGGCGTTGGGTTATGGTAGTAATAGACTCGGAGACTGGATAACATTAAAATTTAATGATCTTACGTTTGTTCCTCGGTAAAGGAAATTTGGTGCCTCCACAAAGTCTTTGTCGTGTTCTCCGTGTGTAGAATTGTTCAATTCACAGCTGTATTTTCCATTTCCAACCATTTTGTTTTCAAAATTAAGGCTGACACAATTGTGCTCGTAGTAACACCTCAACTCACACTCATCCAGATCGCGAACTTTTAAAGTTTTTATGGTGTGGTTCATCAGGCGCTTGTCGGCAAAGAAAAGAAAACTTGGGAACGCCAATTCACGACAAGGACCTTAAGAAAAAAAATAGCAAAACTATATTTCTAACACTTGTAATAGAGTTCATTTGGTTTCCTATTCAAATTTAAATAAGAATTTCGTATATTGTTCAGCGGTTGGGCATTCTCTGTATCTTTGAAACGCGTTTCTCTGTCTTTAAATGAAATTATAGAACACTTTCTTCACTTTAGACTTCCATTACTTTGAAGTCTGCAAATGTGAAAATTATCTCTCAACCGAGTCTGACATATGCCCAGTGTCAGGTTAACTGAGTTTATACACCTTTTAAACGAAGCAGGTGAACGCACGATATGTATATATCTGGTAATTTTGTTTTTCCTTTGCTTCAATTCATTACCATACATTACCACATTCAAAAACAATGGAAAAATAAAATTTAACTGAGATAAAAAATTAACTACAACATATATATATATATATATATATATATATATATATATATATATATCTAAGGAATTTATGCCGAAGTTTATAGAGTATAGTTTAGGCAAGTTTATTGCGTTGTACACAAATTTACCTATGAAAGCAGGGAGAAGATTGACTAGATATTAATTTAACTACGTTTTACTGTGTTACTGTTTCTAATTCATATTGCAAACGATATTAAACGGAAGATAGGCATCAAAACCTTTACAGAATAGCTGGGTAGCAAAAATGCTAACAAATCAGGCATTTCTAATAAACCTTCGAGTTTTAAAAAAGGAACTTTTTCAAAGAAAATTTTTTTAAAAAGATCTACCAGATCGCACTTGAATTGGGCTGTTTGTATGATATTTAAACGGCCAGATCTTTCCGCGTACATCCAATTATGATATATCATCCCGTCAACACATAGATTACAAGGTTGTTTTATAACACAAATCAACCTATTTAAAACGTGTTTCTTTTTTTAAGATTTAAGCAAAGTTTGGTCCTAACTGGTATTAATCTGCCATTTAAGTCTTGCTAAATTTGTCCCTTCGATTTTCGCGAAATTATATATTTACTAGTAAAGCCTAACCTACGAAGCCGAAGATTGATTAGGAACCATTAGGTCGCGAGTAAAACTTACAGAAATAACAATAACGCAGTGAAGAAAACTCAAATGGTATCTCTCTGTTTAGCGTGAAAACTGCCTCCACTGAGAATCTTGTTTTAAGAAAATTTCTAAAGAGCATGAAAGTTATTTAACACTTAAGGCACTTATTTAGGGCACTAACGAAACTTACCGTCATTTAAGCAGGCTGACACTTGTTTCCAAGTAGACAGCAAAAAGTGAATACCAAAAAGTAGCAAATTAGCAAGCATTGTGTATCGTTCTCTTCACGTACAGATTCGCGCAGAACATTGAAGAAAACAAGAGTTAAGACTGAGTAGGTTAATTATCACCTGCATAACTGAACAAACATCGAGGTCAATATAGACCCGTCTACAAGAATCAACACATTTTTGAATTCGCATATCTTGTTACCCGGATTCGTGTGGAGGGGACCTTAAGCCCCTTGGGAGATCGGTTTAAAAAAGGTGCGCATTCGGTGAGCGGATTGACTGGTTTCGTGTGAATGGAAAACCGATTCGTGTAAAAAAATATGCGGGTTTAAAACTATCCGGTTTCATGTGGACGTGGGGAGGGGTAGCTTGTCAGTTACCCAGAAACCTCGATTTATCCGAATTTTCTACAAAAAATTTGCATAACTGCTAAGTGACACTTAACTAAAAAATTAATGAAGCTAAGTTTTGACAAACCATGGCCATGATCGAGCAACTACACCCAGGGTACGAGAAATGCTCGATAAAATATCCCCTAGTTTTATCACTTTATACCACAAAATTCCTCTTATTTAAAATTCAAACAGGAAATTTTAAGTAGTGAGGTGTCTTGATAATCTGTTGTGTATCATGGTTGAAAATTTGGCGTATACAATGTTTGTTCTCCTTGTCAGGTAAACTATTTTGAGTGATAGACTAAACAAGGCAATTTGTGGTGACCACAACCTTCACTGACGTTATACTGTTGTTCGTTCAGCGATATTTACACAGTGCTCTCTCAATTAGTGGCTAATTTTCAAAGTTAATTAGTATTGCAATCGCTAATGCTCCGCTAAGCTGCCACAGAATTCAATACAGTGCAATCTGAATATAACAAAGGACCAAGAGACTGACAATGTTTGCTAAACAGTAAATAACGAGGGCTACTTAATTGCCATTTATATGGAAAAAGCTGGGAATTTAGGTTGGAAAATCACATGGTTCGCGCTATTCCGTTTGGAAAGCTTCAGAAAACATGGGTTGTGTTTTTAGCGATGCAATAATTTTATTTTCTACACTTTGCAGTCTCTCCAGCAGCTTATTTGGATATTAACTTTGTGGCGGTGCGTTCGCCCCCGCAAGTGCGATGTTTTTGCGAGCACGAGCAGATATAAAAAATTTGTTTTCGAGCAGCGAGCAGTTTAGAGAGTACAACTCGCGAGCAGGGAGCACTTCTTATACTTTCCGCTTGCAGCAATCCATATGGAAAGCCTTTTCTTTAAGATAAAACAGAAAATAGTTTAAAACGGGCTTTTAATTTAGAGCACAAAACCTTAAGAGAACTTCGTCTAAAGTAAAAACACAGCTATACGCAAGCGATCCCGAAGATTGTCTAATATTCAATTACGAGTTCACCTCTCAGGTAGAGAAACATCTTGTGATTGGAACCGTTTGGGAAGTGCAGTTCACAGACGAAGATTTTTATATCGATTTAAACCAAGAGCTCTACGAAGAATGTCTCGAGCGTACAAGGGGGGTTGAAGAAAGGGACATGACTTGGGTGGATGAAGAAGAACTTGAAGAGGAACAAGATCCTCGTGTCAGAACAACCTCTTCTGGAAAAATCCTAAAGCTTCCAGACCGTTTTTATTGAAAACACGGCCAAATTAAAGCCCAGTGAGTATAGAGCGTTAGAGAAACTCGGAAGAACTCAGGTTAACAACATCTTCTCTTTTTAACCATATATAACTAGATTAGCTAATTTATTATTTATCGTTCATTTTATCGCGTGCATTTCCAAGGAACTTGATAGCCACATTTATAGGAATTAAGCACCATACAGAATTAGATTTACTGTTTCTCTTGCTTTAACCCAAAGAAGTTTCGAGCAATACTGACAAGAAAGCTAGCATGCAAGCAACTGCAAAAATTTGGGGAGCACGAGCAAGCGAGCACTAGTTTAAATTTTGCGAACAAATCGAGCAAGGGTAAAATTTTGCGAGCAATTCATCACCCCTAAAACCTTTTCAGAATAGCTGGGTTGCAAAATGCTAACAAATTAGGCATTCCTGGTAAACCTTCAAGTTTTAAAAAGGAATTTTTCAAAGGAAATCGCACTCTTGAATTGGGCTGTTTGTATGATATTTAAAAAGCCAGAATCCTCTTTTCATGATATGTCATCTTGTTAATATGTAGAATATAAGGTTGTTTTATAACAGAAATGAACCTATTGAAAACTTGTTTTTTTTTAGATTTTGAGCACAATGTGGTGCTAATTGGTATTAATTTGCCAATTAAGTCTTGCCAAATTTGTCCCTTCGATTTTCGCGAAATATGTATTTACCAGTAACGCCTACCCTACGACGCCGAAGATTGATTAGGTTGCAAGTAAAACTTACAGAAACAACAGTAACCCAGTGAAGAAAACTAAAATGGTATCTCTCTGTTTGGCGTGAAAGCTGCCTCCACCGAGAATCTTGTTTCAATTAAATTTTCTAAAGGGCATGAAGTTATTTAACACTTAAGGCACTTATTTAGGGCACTAACGAAACTCACCGTCATTTAAGCAGGCTGACACTTGTTTCCAAGTAGACAGCAAAAAGTGAGTACAAAAAAGTAGCAAATTAGCAAGCATTGTGCATCGTCCTCTTCAAGTACAGATTCACGGGGTACATTGAAGACCGATTCTTGTAAAAAAGTATGCGGTTTTTCATGTGGACGTGGCCTTCTAAGATTTCGTCTGTTTTTAGCCAATGAAAATGATGTTCTGAGTGGTCGTTACCTATCACAAGTTACAGCTGCCTTTAGCAGATGTTCAAATTTCGAGTTTTGCATCCACTCCTCCCCTAAGACACAATTTTGCCCTAAGTGAGAAATATGTGTTAATGTTGACTTAGGGGAGGGGTAGGTGGTCAGTTACCCAGAAACCTCAATAGACCTCTTTAGCCTATAATGTTTTGTTTTCCCAATAGAGGTCCCCGGGGAACTTCATCCTTTGTCTTTTCATAAATTATGGGTCCATATACACGTAAATAAGATGAAATTTGAAAGAAACTTACAGTTCCCTAGAGTATTATCACATAACCTGTATTGGGAAAACAAAACATACAAGCTAAAGAGGTCTATTGATCCGAATCTTCTGCAAAAAATTTGCTTAACTGCTAAGTGAAACTTGACTAAAAAAATAATAGGCTAAATTTTGACAAACTGGCAATGATCGAGCAACTACACTCAAGATACGCGAAATGGTCGATAAAATATCCCAAAGTTTTATCATTTTATACCACAAAATGAATTAAGGAATTTTCATGTTATCAGGTCTAAAATTCCTCTTATTTAAAATTCAAACAGGAAATTTTAAGTAGTCAGGTGTCTTGATAATCTGTTGTGTATCATGGTTGAAAATTTGGCGTATACAATATTTGTTCTCCTCGTCAGGTAAACTATTTTGAGTGATAGACTAAACAAGGCAATTTGTGGTGAACACAACCTCCACTGACGTTATACCGTTGTTCGTTCAGCGATATTTACACAGTGCTCTCTCAATTAGTGGCTAATTTTCAAAGTTAATTAGTATTGCAATCACTAATGCTCCGCTAAGCTGCCACAGAATTCAATACAGTGCAATCTCGATATAACGAAGGACCAAGGACTGACAATGTTTGGTAAACAGTAAAAAACGAGGGTAACTTAATTGCCATTTATATGGAAAAAGCCGGGAATTTAGGTTGGAAAATCAAATGGTTCGCGCTATTCCGTTTGGAAAGCTCCAGAAAACATGGGTTGTGTTTTTAGCGATGCAATAATTTTATTTTCTACACTTTGCAGTCTCTCCAGCAGGTTATTTGTATATTAACTTTGTGGCGGTGCGTTCGCCCCCGCAAGTAAAATTCAATAGTTTAAATTTCATGCCTAAAAATATTTCCAGCCGAATGATTTGTGTAAATGTTAAGCACCCGAGGTTTCGTTAAATCGAGGTCCTTTTACTCATATTTCATTACACCGACGAATTCGTTATATAGAGGTTCGCTGTGGTGAAGCAACTAAGTTCGAAAAGGATTTATTTTGCAATTGTGGACAAAACACCAGGGCAGCTATGACAGTGAATACACTTCATCAAGTTATTTAGTATCTGCCAGCGGTGAAAAAGACGAGTTACATGTATGGTTGATACCGTTTGGAACAGTTCCCAAAAGAAACACGCTTACCAGACACCCAATGCTTGTTTTTAAGTCCAAATAGACAACCTTAGTTTTTTGAATGCCTCATATCTGTTAACAGGCAAAAAGGTTAACTTACTGAGGCAATAGTCATTTTAGCAGTTATATCTCGTTTATATGGGTAAATTGACAGTATTCTTCGGCTATTGGGGAACTAAAATATATAGAAATAAACTATGCTAAGTCACTGCAGACACCTTAAAGTGGAAATACACCAAAACACACTGACAGACTGGTTTTTCAGCTATACATTTTAAGTGTCACATTCGCCAAATTCTTTAACAAAAGACCCAGGACATTTCTAGCCTTAAATGTTTGTTTGTTGTCCATTACCCAAACGACAGAGTCTTCAGTGATGGTTATACGATCGCTGTAAAATGATCTTGGAAAAGGATAGGTTTTAATCAAACAAACAGGTGGAACAAGGTGGCCCATGATTTACATAACAAAAAGAAAGTGATAAATTTCTAACTAAGCCCCACGCCAAACGTCGAATTTTTCCTAAGACGAACTAAACTTAGTTAAGTTCACGAAACGTTTTCGACATCTAGCTCAGTTAAGTTCGTCTGAATGAGTTTTGCATCGTCCAACACGTTCTATCCGTCTTCTCCAAACGGATAGAACGTCTGAATATCGTGTCCGGGACAAACGTTGATCTTCACTAGCCACGAACAGCTACGAACTAAACTAATAAATTAAAACTGAATTTGTTTGGTGTGGTTAGTTAGGGCTGGTTCTGGAGAAAATTTATTATAATTGCTTTTTGGTCTGATTCAATTGATTGGTTTGAAGCGTCCTAAGTTCGACGTTTGACCCAAAGGATGATCTTAACTTTATAGATCGACCCAAATTAGCGTTTGTTTTAACTCCTTTTTAAAAGCACGATTCATTGCAAGTAGTTCCGCCCGAAAGGGATACTTTTTTCAGGCTCAGGTCTACGAAAGGGTAGAGATTTCGTTTGTTAAAGTATATGAAGGGGTGGGGAAATTACTCGTGTCATTTTGGTCTGTAAAAGAACCAAAAAGGGCTAACATAGACGAATTTAAGGGATTTGAGAGAAGAAAACCTACTGGCTTAGTGATTTATTCATATTAAAAAACGGTGTATTTACGGCAGTTAAAAGGAATGCAAAGTTCTAAACTAGGTATGTGAAAGGGTTTCCATTTGTTAATAAAAGGTATAAGAGAGGGAAACCTTTTCTGACAAAAATGGTATGTAAAAGGGTAAAAGGTTAAACGAAGGGGAGGAGCCTCCCCGTATAAAACGTTGTTGAGTATCCCCCCCCGGGATTCATTGTTAGTACATAAAATGCTTAGTGGCTCATAAAGTTCATGGCGGATACCATTCCACTTATAACTGCCCCTTATAAGCCCCGCAAATATACGTCCCCCCAGTTATAAGCCGCCCACATTTGCGTCCCCCAGTTATAATAGACATGCAAGCAGAATACTGCAATGCTGATCATACTACGTCCTTTGTGGTTAATGTTTGTACCCCAGTTGTAAGGCCCCCCACATATACGTCTCCCAGTTATAAGGACCCCCACATATACGTCCCCCCAGTTATAAGCCCCCGACATATACGTCCCCCCTAGTTATAAGCCCCCGACATATATGTCCCTGCAGTTAAAAGCTCCCCACTGATTAGCCCCCCAGTAGTAGGCCCATCAATCTGTAAACAAAAATACATCCGCTTATAAGCCCTTCCCTTATATAAGCCCCCCTCTTACAGCTTTTCTTATTTTGAATTCCGATTATTACAACGTTTGAAAGCCCTGCAAGAGTTTGTTTCGAAGGATTTTTTTTTTCCCCAGTTATAAACCCGATCGGATATAAGCCCTCGTAAGACCCTTACGAAGATGTACAAGCCCATTGAATATAAGCGGTGTATGTATGTTGGCTGATTTTTTTAAAAATGCAGTACCATTTATCGGCCAGTTTGATGAGTCATGATGTTCAAAATCGTATTAAGTAAACCCTCTACACCCCAAACGAAAGCCACTATGCGTGGTTTAGTTTTCACTGGCAAATTAAATGATCAAAATTAATGTGACCTCAGTGGCCTGAGGAATTGTCAACCAAACGCAATTGAGCCATTCTACCAACAAAACCAGATACATTCCAGCTTTTCTCTGTCATGGATTCACTACAATCCCCAGTTTCCCGAAAAACCACATTTCCGTCAACAATAAGCACAGCACGAATCTCGTTTACGTAACAACTTCCTCCAATAACGAACCGAAGAGAATTTCCATTAATCCAAAAACAGTTTGACGTCATCGTGCCTTGGGGAACATCGCTTTGGATTGCACCAGCCTGATGAGAGGGACTGGGCCGATTCTCGAAGCCGCCAATCCACCAATTCCCTTTGTGGTTGGCAGGTCCTCTGCCTCTCTCTAATGAATTATCGCCGTATGTTGGCTGATTGTTGAATGCATTGCCAGGCAATGTCCAGCATGACAATCCGTTTTCGAAATCAAACAGAATACCGCAGTATGCTGAAAATAAGTAAAACAATTACAGCTTGAGGTTCGGGTTAGGGCCTGTTTACATGGAGGAGGGGGACCCCGGGGAGGTAAGATAACCCACTTAGGTGGGGTAATACCTGCCTGTCCATAAAATCCGTCTCTCATTTTAATATGATAACGTTTACATGATAGGTGGTCTGCCAGACCGTTTAACCCTCTCAGCTGGGGTCAAATTTTGCCTTCTAAACGTTTTCAGGTAGCGTAACCCGCCCAGCCGGGTTTGAGAAGACGGCTGTATTCGTAGACTAGTTGATCATCATCCAAAGTCTCTATTTGTACAAGTATGTTTTAGAACGTGTAACCAAGTACCCGGTATTTTACTTAAAGCCCCTTGCAAACCGACGCAACATTGTTAGCCAACAACTCCCAACATTGTTGTTCCGTCCGTTTGCTCACCGGCCTGTTGCATCTTGTTGTGTGTTGTTGCGAGTTGTTGCGCAAAATTTGAACTTTGTCAAACGTTTTGAGCCAACAACTCCCAAAATTTCCACTGTTTCGTGATCGCCGAAGCGTAGCGCAATAATGTTGGATCCGTTTGCACAGTTCTCCCAACATTGTTAGAGCCACGTACGTGCATTACACATGCTCTCTAAAGTCTAAAGGTGCACCCTAAATTTCTTGATATTTTTTAATATTAAAAGAAGTTAAAGTTCTATTTTTCATTCTTCACAATAATTGCTTACATCAGTCACAAAAATTAGCTTGAAACTTAAGCTTTTTAAGGGTTACTCCCAAATAGGAGCGAAATTTAAAGATACTATAGGGGTATCTAGACTCCGAGAGACAGATGAAAGCATAATTAATTTTTCATAAAGCAGCAATTAAAAGAGGTTGTATGAAAATTATTTTTTTTCTCTATAATTTAGCGAAAATCTTTCCTTTGGCATTTCTTGTGTTTGTTTGCGTGCTGATCACGTTTTAGGTCTCTCAGGATGCCGAGACTACCCCACTAAGCTAACTAATTATTCATACAGCAAAAATTTATAAGACGTTTTAAGTTATGAGAATTATTGCGTCTTTGCTTTATAAATTAGCAAAATGTGCGTTGAATTTCGCTTTTAAGCTAACTTTAAGGCTTTCTTGTGTTTATTACGTATTGACTGCGATTTAGGCCTGCGAAACGTTGTCGAGTGGAAGGTCATTGCATCCTATTGTTGCCCGTTAATTTCCTTTCGTTTTGAGTTTGAAATTTAGTCCGGAGAGAGGAATGAGTCCCATTGCAATTGGTTTTTCAAAGCAGAATAAAGCCGGTCAATTCCCTTTGAATGTTTAGGAAAATACCACCGAGTTAATTCAAAAAATCAAACTCTAAACGCCCTAAAAAATGGATATAATGATACAGAAAAAATAACGAAGAGAACTATAAATTCTAACTAACTGCAAAATTAAATAAAAAAACTTATGTAGTGGGGGATTGGAATGAGGAACCGAAGTTTACTAGTGGTTGGTAGTATGTTTTTAATCTTACGTAGCTTCTCAAGTTGATTACTTAACCAAGAGAACTCAAGAATCCGGGTCTGAAATAAGTTTATGGCAAGCTTGTAAGTGATCAAAATTGATGTGCCCAAAGTGGCCTGAGGAATGGTCAACCAAACGCAACTGGGCATTTTTACCAGCGTAATCTGTTACATTCCAGCTTTTCTCTGTCATAGCTTCTTTACACGCCGTCGGTATCTCCTTAAGAACCACTTCCCCACCAATAATAAGCTCGGCACGAATGTTTGGACCTGTACTACTTCTGCAGCCTGCTCCAATCAGGAAGGTAAGCAACTTTCCAGTAATCTGAAAACTGGGTGACGTCAATGAGCCTTGAGGATCATCACCTTGTATTCCCCAGGCGGTTCAGAGGGATTGGACCGATTCTCGTAGGTACCAATCCACCAATCCCCTTTGTGGTTGCTCTCATGATTATACTGGTTTTTATCCCTTGCTGATGGGTTATTCCCGTATGTTGGCTGATTATTGAATGCAGTGCCATTCAAAGTCCAGTTTGATAAGTCATGGTCTTCGAAGTCAAATATAGTGTAACATTCTAAGGGAACAAAATTTGCAACGCGTTATTTTAAAAAATGGATGTAACGCGCACCTTGAATTGAGATTGCCGTGAGAGTAATTAGAGAACTCTAACCAGCGGTTACTTCAGTGGAAAAATTAAAATTTTTAAACTTTAATACGAGCGATAGAAAACTATTTAGGCATGATATTTTTTTGTATATACAATCTTGTTTAACCTTTTAAGACCTGCGATCACTGTCGGAGCATTCAAAGTAAACGATTTCCCCCTGAATGCAAAATAGATGGTATTTAAGGGGCTAGTTTTTTTTTCGCGGAAGAATTAAATAAAATGCTTTTTATATCTCACTTGTTGCTTCTTTAACTCGCTTTTAAGCATCTGGTATTTTTACCCGCATTTCAAGCTCACATAGATTCCACGAACGTATATTTTGTTGATGAGTGAAGAATGATTGTGACAAGGTAATGTAATTTTTTCTTAAAGCCGGCCCTAACACTTCAGTATTATTTAATTGTGTTATAGGGAAAACCTGATAAGGAGGCTTATTAAAGTTTGTGGGAAAAAATTGTAGTAAACAAGGCATTGAGCCTCTTCCACAATCGCTTGATCTGAGGAATGTGAGACTTTATAAGGTCCCTGTGGAGAAAACGGAATAAAACACTGCGATACCTGTGCAGTTGTATCCGTCTCCATAGTAACCAATATTGCAGGTGCATCTGAAAGATCCTTCTGTATTGTTACAAGTTGCGTTCGTTCCACATCTCTTTTCTCGACATTCGTCTATATCTAGGATAATTTTGTAACACCGTGAATCTTTTTGACCCCACACATCTTCAGAACCATTATCCTCTTTCAAGGACGATGAGTTCTCTCTTTTTCAAGTCCAATATCCTCTCTTTTCCTTTTCAACCAAAGACAAACTACCGTGAAGTTCGGGTTATAATAAATAGCAATGAATAAACATTAATTTTGAAGCGCCAAAAATTATTGTCCAGGGCTTTACACCATGCAAATCACGCTAGCTGAAATCGGTATGTATTTAACTTTTATTTGAAAAGTTTCAACATTTGAACAACCGCGAGAGAAAGTTTGTTTAAAAAAAGGGCCAGAATGGGAAAAGGCACAGTCACCAAAGGAATTGCCAACAAAAACCAGGGGCACTCGTCTTCAATATTGCTTGTAAAGAGCTGAAAATTGCACAAATTTTTCAACTTAACCAGCTCTTTCAACTTTTGCATTTAGTTCGTATATACGGCCACGGCTTCAATGAGTTAAGTAGTATGGTAATAAGAAAAAATGTAAACGATGACGACTGCAAAGATTCGCCTATAGGTGTGCGGTTTAGGGAGGTGCTCCTTGAGAGAGATTTGACTGTCAGCCCAGGGCTTAGAACCAGAATTTTGACATAAATCAAACAAAAAAAAGGCGAGATAGACGCATTCCCAAGTCTTCAGTGCAATGCCAATCTACTTGAAGTCAGCTAACGACAGAACAAAAATGCTGGGATACCTGTGCAGTTATATCCATCTCCACTGAAACCAGTCTTGCATGTGCATCTGTAAGATCCCTTTGTGTTTTTACAATCTGCGTTCTTGATACACTCGTCACTTTTTTCATAACATTCGTCAATATCTAGGTGAAGATAGTTATTACAAGAATCATTCAGTTACTTTGCAAAGCAAGCGCCGGAAATATCTGCACGATATCTGGACAGTGGAACTGGCAGCTTAAGTTATATAAGACCTTTAAGTTAGCTGTCAGAATCAAAATGTCTTCGTTTAGACGAGAACTTGCCAGTCCACCGACAATTTGACTTAAAACCCCTGATAAATGTAACTCACTAATTAGCGCAAAATAACAACTGAGATCGAGAATTGTAGGCCAAACGGAGGTGAGAGTAAAGGGCAACGTGTTGCAAATCCACTCGAAAGTAAAGGGAATATTCTTTCATCTATGTGCGAGCTTCCGAAAATGCGGGAGCCGGAAAGCTGTTTCATTCTTCCGTCTGGAAGGTCCTGCGCTTGATGAACTTGTGATGGTTTTGTCGACAATGATGGGGCTAATATTACAGCGGATATACTTTTTTCAAATTAATGTTCTCACTTGCAGTTTCCCCCTTTTAATTAAACGCGGTACAGCTTACGTGGTTTCATGATTACTGCGTTCACTTAGCCCATTTTTCAGACCTACCATCTTGGCATCTTGCACCTGTAAAGCCTCGACACAAGCAGTGATATCCTTTCTTGGTAAATCCTGATTGACAAGTCCCGTTATTTTTACAAGGAGAACTACCACAAGGATTCTGGGGAAAATATTATGGAAAAGAGATATTGCTTTATGCTTCTGAGCCTTTCTAAACCTTTGCGAGAGGTGTCCGCCTCATCATGATTCAAGGAAAATGAGTAAAGATTGGCAGGGCCCAACTCTAAGCGTCGGGTTTAGGGATTAGCCCGTCTTACATGTATACGGAGGCGCTGTTTTGAGGTGTTTAACAAGTTAAATTGAATTTTTCATGTTATTTAAGTAGCAAAAGACGCTTTCTTTTGGGAGGAGCTTGCAGTCTAAGGGGGAAGGTAATTACAAAAATTTTCGATCTTAAAAATAACAACAAAGTGAAATTTCTCAAAAACGGCTACAGTTGAAACAAAACCGTCTAGGGAGAAAAACTTGCTTTTCAGAGAGTAAATGAGAATGGCTGGCGAAAGGAAGAGACCTAGTGTCGTTGTCAGATTTAGTGGGGGCAACACGGCTACCATCATAAATGACGTCATTGGTCCTCAGCGCGTCAAATTCCATAATATTCGCATCATCCCGTGCAGTTATCACAAACAGAAACTATCTACTCAATATTTGAATATTGCAACACAGCCCAGCCCAAAGCCTGAGATCCAGCCATTTTCCTTTAGACCAGGCGTTGGGTTATGGTATTAATAGGCTCGGAGACTGGATAACGTTAAAATTTAATGATCTTACGTTTGTTCCGCGGTAAAGGAAATTTGGTGCCTTCACAAAGTCTTCAACATGTTCTTTGTGTGTAGAATTGTTCAATTCACAGCTGTATTTTCCATTTCCAACCATTTTGTTTTCAAAATTAAGGCTGACACAATTGTGCTCGTAGTAACACCTCAACTCACACTCATCCAGATCGCGAACTTTTAAAGTTGTTATGTTGTGGTTCATCAGGCGCTTGTCGGCAAAGAAAAGAAAACTTGGGAACGCCAATTCACGACAAGGACCTTAAGAAAAAAATAGCAGTATTATATTTCTAACACTTGTAATAGAGTTCATTTGGGTTTCCTATTCAAATTTAAATAAGAATTCCGTATATTGTTTAGCGGTAAGCATTCTCTCTATCTTCGAAACGCGTTTCCCTCTCTTTAAATGAAATTATAGAACACTTTCTTCACTTTAGACTTCCATTACTTTGAAGTCTGCAAATGTAAAAAATTATCTCTCAACCGAGTCTGACATGTGCCCAGTGTCAGGTTAACTGACCCTGGGCATATGGGTTCAAGCAGGTGAACGCACGATATGTATATATGTTGCAGATAATTCGTGTAAAAAATATGCGGATTTAAAACTATCCGGTTTCATGTGGACGTGGCCTTATAAATCTTTCGTCTGTTTTTAGCCAATGAAAATGATGTTCTGGGTGGTCGTTACGTATCACAAGTTACAGCTGCCTTTAGCAGATGTTCAAATTTCGAATTTTGCATTCACCCCTCCCCTAAGACACAATTTTGCCCTAAGTGAGAAGTATGTGTTAATGTTGACTTAGGGGAGGGGTAGGTGGTCATTACCCAGAAACCTCAATTGGCCCGAATTTTCTACAAAAAAATTGCATAACTGCTAAGTGATACTTCAATAAAAAATTAATGAAGCTAAGTTTTGACAAACCATGGCCATGATCGAGCAACTACACCCAGGGTGCGAGAAATGCTCGATAAAATATCCCCAAGTTTTATCATTTTATACCACACAATTCCTCTTATTTAAAATTCAAACAGGAAATTTTCAGTAGTCAGGTGTCTTGATAATCTGTTTTGTATCATGGTTGAAAATTTGGCTTACACAATGTTTGTTCTCCTTGTCAGGTAAACTATTTTGAGTGATAGACTAAACAAGGCAATTTGTGGTGAACACAACCTCCACTGACGTTATACCGTTGTTCGTTCAGCGATATTTACACAGTGCTCTCTCAATTAGTGGCTAATTTTCAAAGTTAATTAGTATTGCAATCACTAATGCTCCGCTAAGCTGCCACAGAATTCAATACAGTGCAATCTCAATATAACGAAGGACCAAGAGACTGACAATGTTTGCTAAACGGTAAAAAAAAACGAGGGTTACTTAATTGCCATTTATATGGAAAAAACGGGGAATTTAGGTTGGAAAATCAAATGGTTCGCGCCATTCCGTTTGGAAAGCTTCAGAAAACATGGGTTGTGATTTCAGCGATGCAATTTTCTACACTTTGCAGTCTCTCCAGCAGGTTATTTGGATATTAACTTTGTGGCGGTGCATTCGCCCCCGCAAGTAAAATTCAATAGTTTAAATTTCATGCATAAAAATATTTCCAGCCGAATGATTTGTGTAAATGTTAAGCACCCGAGGTTTCGTTAAATCGAGGTCCTTTTACTCATATTTCATTACACCGACGACTTCGTTATATAGAGGTTCGCTGTAGTGAAGCAAGTAAGTTCCAAAAGGATTTATTTTATAATTGTGGACAAAACACCAGAGCAGCTATTGCAGTGAATACACTTCATTATATTTAGTATCTGCCAGCGGTGAAAAAGACGAGTTACATGTATGGCTGATACCGTTTAGAACAGTTCCCAGTAGAAACACGCTTACCAGACACCCCATGCTTGTTTTTAAGTCCAAATAGACAACCTTAACTTTTGTTTTTTGAATGCCTCATATCTGTAAACAGGCAAAAAGGTTAACTTCCTGAGGAGAGGTTCTTGTTAAGGTGTTTGCACCGGCAAATTTTGTACAATTTTGCATCATTTTATAGTCATTTTAGCAGTTATATCTCGTTTATATGGGTACATTGACAGTATTCTTCGGCTATTGAGGAACTAAAATATATAGAAATAAACTATACTAAGTCACTGCAGACACCTTAAAGTGGAAATACACCAAAACACACTGACAGACTGGTTTTTCAGCTATAAATTTTAAGTGTCACATTCGCCAAATTCTTTAACAAAAGACCCAGGACATTTCTAGCCTTAAATGTTTTTTTTGTTGTCCATTACCCAAACGACAGAGTCTTCAGTGATGGTTATACGATCGCTGTAAAATGATCTTGGAAAAGGATAGGTTTTAATCAAACAAACAGGTGGAACAAGGTGGCCCATGATTAACATAACAAAGAGAAAGTGATAAAGTTGTAACTAAGCCCCACGCCAAACGTCGAATTTTTTCTAAGACGAACTAAACTTAGTTAAGTTCACGAAACGTTTTCGACATCTAGCTCAGTTAAGTTCGTCTGAATGAGTTTTGGATCGTCCAATACGTTCTATCCGTCTTCTTCAAACGGATAGAACGTCTGAATATCGTCTCCGGGACAAACGTTGATCTTCACTAGCCACGAACAGCTACGAACTAAACTAATAAATTAAAACTGAATTTGTTTGATGTGGTTAGTTAGGGCTGGTTCTGGAGAAAATTTATTATAATTGCTTTTTGGTCTGATTCAATTGATGGGTTTGACGGGTCCTAAGTTCGACGTCTCACCCAACGGATGATCTTAACTTTATAGATCGACCCAAATTAGCGTTTGGTTCGTCTCATGGGTTTTAACTCCTTTTTAAAAGCACGATTCATTGCAAGTACTTCCGCCCGAAAGGGATACTTTTTTCAGGCTCAGGTCTACGAAAGGGTAGAGATTTCGTTTGTTAAAGTATATGAAGGGGTGGGGAAATTAATCGTGTCATTTCGGTCTGTAAAAGAACCAAAAAGGGCTAACACAGACGAATTTAAGGGATTTGAGAGAAGAAAACCTACTGGTTCAGTGATTTATTCATATTAAAAAACGGTGTATTTACGGCAGTTAAAAGGAATGCAAAGTTCTAAACTAGGTATGTGAAAGGGTTTCCATTTGTCAATAAAAGGTATAAGAGAGGGAAACCTTTTCTGACAAAAATGGTATGTAAAAGGGTAAAAGGTTAAGCGAAGGAGAGGAGGCTCCCGGTTTAAAACGTTGTTGAGTATCCCCCCGGGATTCATTGTTAGTACATAAAATGCTTCGTGGCTCATAAAGTTCATGGCGGATACCATTCCACTTATAACTGCCACTTATAAGCCCCGCAAATATACGTCCCCCCAGTTATAAGCCGCCCACATTTTCGTCCCCCAGTTACAATAGACATATTAAATTCTGCAAGCAGAATACTGCAATGCTGATCATACTACGTCCTTTGTGGTTAATGTTTGTACCCCAGTTGTAAGGCCCCCCACATATACGTCTCCCAGTTATAAGGACCCCCACATATACGTCCCCCCAGTTATAGCCCCCCGACATATACGTCCCCCCTAGTTATAAGCCCCCGACATATATGTCCCTGCAGTTAAAAGCTCCCCACTGATTAGCCCCCCAGTAGTAGGCCCATCAATCTGTAATCATAAAAATACATCCGCTTATAAGCCCTTCCCTTATATAAGCCCCCCTCTTACAGCTTTTCTTATGTTGAATTCCGATTATTATAACGTTTGAAAGCCCTGCAAGAGTTTGTTTCGAAGGGTTTTTCTCTACTCCAGTTATATACCCCATCGGATATAAGCCCTCGTAAGACCCTTACGAAGATGTACAAGCAAATGGAATATAAGCGGTGTATGTATGTTGGCTGATTTTTTTAAAAATGCAGTACCATTTATCGGCCAGTTTGATGAGTCATGATGTTCAAAATCGTATTAAGTAAACCCTCTACGCCCCAACGAAAGCCAAAATGCGCGGTTTAGTTTTCACTGGCAAATTAAATGATCAAAATTAATGTGACCATAGTGGGTTGAGGAATTGTCAACCAAACGCAACTGAGCTATTCTACCAACAAACCCAGATACATTCCAGCTTTTCTCTCTCATGGATTCACTACAATCCCCAGTTTCCCGAAAAACCACATTTCCGTCAACAATAAGCTCAGCACGAATCTCGTTTATGTAACAACTTCCTCCAATAAGGAACCGAAGAGAATTTCCATTAATCCAAAAACAGTTTGACGTCATCGTGCCTTGGGGAACATCGCCTTGGGTTGCACCAGCCTGATGAGAGGGACTGGGCCGATTCTCGTAGCCGCCAATCCACCAATTCCCTTTGTGGTTGGCAGGTCCTCTGCCTCTCTCTAATGAATTATCGCCGTATGTTGGCTGATTGTCGAATGCATTGCCAGTCAATGTCCAGCATGACAATCCGTTTTCGAACTCAAACAGAATACCGCAGTATGCTGAAAATAAGTAAAACGATTACAGCTTGAGGTTCGGGTTAGGGCGTGTTTACATGGACGAGGGGAACCCTGGGTAGGCAAGATAACCCGCTTAGGTGAAGTAATACCTGCCGGTCCATAAAATCCGTCTCTTATTTTAATATGATCACGTTTACACGACAGGTGGTCTGCCAGACCGGTTGACCCTCTCAGCTGGGGTCAAATTTTGCCTTCTAAACGTTTTCAGGTAGCGTAACCCGCCCAGCCGGGTTTGAGAAGACGGCTGTATTCGTAGACTAGTTGATCATCATCGAAAGTCTCTATTTGTACAAGTATGTTTTAGAACGTGTAACCTAGTACCTTAACCAAGTACCCGGTATTTTACTTAAAAGCCCCGTGCAAACCGACGTAACATTGTTAGCCAACAACTCCCAACATTGTTGTTCCGTCCGTTTGCACACCGGCCTGTTGCATGTTTTTGTTTGTTGTTGCGAGTTGTTGCGCAAAATTTGAACCTTGTCAAACTTTTTGAGCCAACAACTCCCAACATTTCGTCTGTTCCGTGATCGCCGAAGCGTAGCGCAATAATGTTGGATCCGTTTGCACAGCTCTCCCAACATTTTTGGTGCCACGTACGTGCATTACACATGCTCTCTAAAGTCTTATGGCTTTTATCCCTCCCACGATGCACTGTAGCTCCCAACATTGTTGGGAATTGTTGCATCCGTTTGCATACCACTACCAACACGAACGCAACAACTCCCAACAAAGCTGGGAGTTGTTCCATCCGTTTGCGTGTAGCTAATACGAACACTCGAAATTCCCAACTGTTGAGACAACTCACGAATTCCTGGAATCAGGAAAACGTTTTGTACAAAATATCTCATACCGCACTCCTTGGAGTATTCAGCCCGGTATATTTCTGGAAAATACCCACAGTCCAAAGATTAATATTAAGGTGTCAGTTAAGGTCAGGGAGAGCGTTAAAATTCATTTAAAGTAAATATTCTCCTTGCTACCTGTGCAGTTCACTCCATCTCCAACAAAGCCGCCACAACAAGTGCAATTGAATGAGCCTACGGTGTTGCTGCACCAGGCATTTTCTGAACAGTTATGGGTTCCAGCGGTGCACTCGTCTATATCTAAAAAGAAGGCGTAGATATAACATGTATCGTTATTAAAACATGTATCCAAGAAGAACCTAAGTCAAGTCAAGTGAAGTGTTGGCCATTGTCCCCTTTAAAATGCCATTTGACTTAAGATCGTATTTACCGTTTCTGGGTTCGATCACATCTTTAATCAGGGACACCCAACGACAATTTTCGGAAGAATATCTGTTCGGAAGGCGATTTGAGATCTAGAATTTTCGAAACATTTGTTGTAAAATTTCTTGCTTGCCTGCCTCTCCTAGGATTTTCGAACATGTAAAAAATGGTATAATTGCCTATTTTTAACGGATTTTTACCCTAAAAAGGTCACCTAGAATTTTCGGGAGCCTTTTTTCTGGCTGAAATTTTCGAAAAAGTAAGTTTTGATCCCTATTATTTTCGGATCACTAGACTTTCAGCTAGGAAATCCGAACAGATGAAAAATTTTTAGGGGATAAAAATATGACTATATCTACGTTTAAATACTAAAATACCTTTAACAATGCTATGTTTAAGTGGTTTTGAACCATATCCTCGTTGGCTGCCCCTGTTTAATGCTCTTTGGTGCGCATGTGTTGTTGATGAAATTGAAGACTATAGAGACTATTTTCGCGAGGTGTTGATTCACAAGTGACGGTAAACCTATTCTATTTAGTAGTTCAGACTATGGCGTTTGCTTTTCATTTCATTTTTTAAACTTCTCATATCGTATTGTTGTTCTGTTCATGTTACATTTGATGCAAGATGTTCAATATAACTGTCTGAACTAACAGCAGCAGCAGTGCCAATGCAAACCCCTGTTTGAAAGTCGAATGGTTCGCTGCTGTATACCTTCTATTGTTTTTGTCTCTTCAGTTCATTTGAGCAAAACGTCAAATTAAATTGTTTCCAACAGGATGTGGTTTGTCCGCGTTTGTGTAAATGAACAGCCCCCGTTGATAAAGATTTATCTTCCGCGCTCAGTTATGGAATGAGATAAGCAGGAAGCGTACAGCTTGAAGGACGATACAGTATTTTAAAAATTTAAAGGGGTATTATTATTTAATGGTACCTATTCCGTCAAAAATGGTATGTAAACGGGTTCGGAATCATTATTATTATTATTTTTTTGGAAATGCTGATGGAAAATACGATGTACTCAAGTATGTCCATCTTCCAAAAAAACAGTCGTTTTACTATAATACAAACGCTTTTCGAATTCGCACTCAAGCTATTCCCCATGTGAATTATAAGACGTTATGATGATAGGAAACCCACGTCGTAACACATAACACTTCAGATACTGGTTGGGTGGTATACTAATATCCCAAAAACGGAGAGACCCTTGTATCTATGTCAGTTAGTACATTTTCTTGTTATGATTTTGCAGGGTTTTTTTTCTAGAAATCTTTGAAATAACAAAACAAATTTATACTAACCTTTTTCGCAAAGCTCTCCCTCAAAACCAGCTGGACATAAACATCGAAATGTTTTGGCAGTAAATCCATGCTGACACTTGCCATTATTTAAACAGGGGCGTGAGCTACAGCTGTTCTAAAGTCAAGCAAAGTATTGAATACAAGTCAATGCACTGTACAAGGACAGGGAGGACCCTGACATGGTCCCATCTCGCTTACTAGCAAACACTTCATTTATGGGAGAGAAGCGAGCTGCGAGAGAACGTACTCGCGTCTCGTTTCGCGGGCTTCTCGCGCGTGATTTCTCGCGACTCCCCCAAATGACTTGGGTGAAGAGCTCTACAAGACATCACTTATCTGGGAGCCCTGACGCGACAAATTTTTGGCACGAGAATCTGAGATTAAACTGAAATATTTTGTAAGGATGAACTTTACATTGTCAGACCAACTGCACTGGGGCATTTAAATCCTATTATTCTTTTCTGTTAGTGTTGGAGGGGGGGGGGGGGGATTGCAAATGAGAAGCCATCCTTTCAACCTCGTCCCCCGGCCTTAACCCATTATCTGAGGGAAAAGCCCTAAGGACGAGGGTGCCATCTTTATGTAGTGTGGAAAGGGTCCCTAAAAACAACACCAGCTTCCCCTGGGGTGGCGGGTCCAAATACTAAAGATCACGTGATATCCTGAACAAATAACAAAACGTCAAATTAATAAGCGTCTTGAATTTGAATAAGGCCTGTTCTAGCTTGGGGCACTGACTAAAGGCCCAATCTTCCATGCATAAAAAGGATAATGAGAGGAAAAATACATAGATTTGCAGATTTTCATCCTCCTTCGATAAGCAGAACAGTGCAATACACAGTTTAACTATAGAACACTGTGAAAACCTTTGTGCGTTCTTTTCGAGCTTATATGGTGAATAACGTAAGAGAGCGAATAATAAAAGTAGGTACAAAATAATAACAAGGAGTTGAAGTAGTTAATAAAAGCGAACAATGCCCTGACAACTACATTGGTGAGATCACCAGATCCCTTTGTACTCGCAACAAAGAAAAACTAATCAATTTTCGAGCGCTGACGGGCAACGGGGTCATAACATCAACCAGAAACTCATAAGAGTTTCTGCATCAACCCATACAATACTGAAGTTTAAAATGACAAAAATCACCCAATCAATTGCATCAAGCTCCGCGCTAAGAGGCCATTGCCATAAGGCCATCAAACAAAGAAAACCCTCTCTTATTAGGGACGAGGGAGACTGGACCTATCGTCCATTTACATCATCTCTTGGGGATTCATTCATAACAACTTTTCTGTTACATCTCTGATGAAGTTGAGGGATTAGAACAAAATATTCGAATTTTTTCAAACGTCTTTGCTCTGAGTTTGAAAATTTTTGTTTCTGGTAAATTAATGCATCGGGTGAGAAATAGGAAGAAAAATCAATCTACTACATATACGACAGCTGAAATTTTTTAACACTAACCTGGGTCTCATGATATGTGTACTTTTCCCTTTTCTGTAAAAATGCTTGATCCGTAGAATTGTTTAACTCGCAAATATAAAGATCACCAGTCTGACTTATCCCCAGGTTAAAAGATACGCAATCGTGGACAAAATAACATCGAATTTGACAGATGTCACCACTTGTCACCAGCAGAGAGGAGATCACGTGATCAACAAGAGCTTGACCCTCAATGTGGCCAAAAAATTTTATGTTTCTGCAGTTATCTTGTTTGAAAAGAGATCAGAAATAAATAAGTGGTTAAAAATAAAACACAAACAGCGGTGATAAACATTTAGCCTGCGAAAACATCCGTTTCTCCTCGCTCTTCGCCGCTGGGGACGTTTCGCGCGGAGGAACGTCTGCGACTCAGCGACAGAAATTCCATACTGATGACGCAAATCAATGTTTACATAATAAATCCGGTAGTCATGGGGTTCCAAATACAAATTTGTCCAATTCTAAGTGTCTTCTGGTCGATTTTGGTAAAGTGTTGTGTTCATCTGCCAACGAGCTCCAGCAAAACTCAAACGCTTCTTCTCGAGAACAGTATATTCTACAAATATTGACTGTTTTGCTTGAGATTCTTCGCGTTTACATTTGACCTTTGTGGCCTTTTGTCTTTTGTCTGTCATTCGTAAACAATAGCTAAAACAATGTAACTACTCCGTCGACCAATCAGCGCTTCTGACCGGATTCTGGACAGATTTTACGTCATCAGTATGGAATTTCTGTCGCTGAGTCGCAGACGTTCCTCCGCGCGAAACGTCCCCAGCGGCGAAGAGCGAGGAGAAACGGATGTTTTCGCAGGCTAATAAACATTGTGAGTTTCGCATTTTTTATAAACTTGACGTTTCGTACGCTATTCAACATACATTTTCAAAAGTGATCTTAAGTGACCGTTGAAGAAAATGACGAGATCACATATTCAAAAATTACAGCTGAGTTGTCTGGAAATGAGGTTACGAATTTTAAAAATTCTTAACAGTAAATAATACAAAAGGCAACAGCTAATAAAGCATCAGCTAAGGTCTTGAAGAGACTTCGAAGTGTTCAGTCTTCCCGAGACTGAACACTCAAGTCCCTAACAAAAAATGATCACCCTTCAGCTATTGCTGACCATATCACTGCCACCGGACATAGCATTAAATGGGATCACTTTGACATCTTAGCACCTGGCAAAACAGATTATCATTGTAAGACAAAAAAAACATTGTTTAAGAGAAGGGGCGTCTGTGATTCACCGTTGCTAATCGTGTGTGGAGGCCACGTGATTTTTCCCGGAATGTGTGGAAAATACAATTTGATTAGCTGTTACTCGTAGATCACTACATCATGTAAATGAGGGAATTGGATTGGTTTTAGTGCCTGTCGTCAATAAATAGCAGGCAACCTGAAAATCATCACATTGACAACTACACGCATTTTTCCTGAGGGGAGGGGGATCTGTACACAGACTACTCGATCTGTAAACAGACTATTCCCACTCAGTCTCCACCTCAAACACTCACTACCCCCCCCCCCCCCCCCCACCATCCCTCTCCACCTGTAACAGCCTATCGATAAAAATTCTGATGGTTCCCCATTATAATTTTTTTCAATTTTCGCTAAGCGACGTGTTGCATATTAGCTGTGTTTAAAAGGCAATAAAGCTTATTTTTGTTCATCATATGTTACCTCTGTCAAGTACAAATCAAGCCTGTTCCTGATAACCTAAATCTATATTACGTAAACTTAGTATGTAACTTTAACTTGAATGCCCATTACCATATTTATAAGTCTTGGACCCTTATGATTTCTACCGCTAACCTGACAGTGGCCAGCTCGAAAGCTGTCGCTTCTTGGCCACTGTGCACGTACCTTCACCGCTCGTGACTTCGGCCTTCAGCCGAAGATGTGTCGGCCTTCCACCGCACGCAAAAAAGAACCTCTGTTACCCAGGGTAAATAAGTACTTGTGTAATAATATATTTTCAAATAATTGTTAGTACTAAGTAACACCCCGTAAACAGAGTAAAAAATAAAGTTGAGGTTGATAATTCACACTTAAGGCTTTCTACTGCAAGTAACTGCTGTGCACTGCAGTGAATGATTCTGAATTTTGGATGGTGGATTGCGGACTGTGGATTACCGTGGATACTATATCGCATCATTACTGTTTTGAATACAAAATGAGATGTAAAAGCCTTTCTGTTTCCGCTTTTCATCAAACCGGCTACTTAAAGTGGTAATTGAACTTCGTGTAGTGCAGTTTGGTCTGAAATCATACTTGAAATCACGCGTATGATTTCAGGTCAAACTGCACTCCGATCAGTTCAATAACCATTATAAATCTCACAAGTTGCCATCAGTTTAAGATTTGTTTTGTTTTGTCTTTCTTCATAGTTAAGCATAGTAGTGAGGTAGAATTGTTTCAACAATTTCGGAAACTAAGTAGGTTCTTGACTCTCTCCAAATACGTTGACTTTGTCGACTAAAATTGACTTGGTACAATGACCTAATCTAAAGAACTCTGATTTCGCAAAATGTTTCAAATGAAAGAACGTACCTCTATGGGAAACGTCTTACCATCTATAATAAATGCGATAACATCAGCGAAAATAATTAAATTCAAACAGTCAGGGGTAAATAATTCAAACACAATCTAAATCTGAATGCCATGAATCAAGCTAAATATTGCACTGTTGGAGGTCAGCTTCCCTTCATTTAAAATTCACAGGACGTGACAGTCAAGACTAAACACTCACCACCATAGAGTCGCATTTGACTTGTTTCAAAATAAGTCCAGCTGAGTCTCCAGCTGGTGGTGATACTCAAAGTAAAAAACAAGACCTGGGATATCTAGCTGTTAGCAGTTGCAGCATTTTAAAAACTCAGTGCTGGTTAATCAACTAAGCGTCTTATGTCCCTTACTTAATGTCAAGCGACTTTTTACGCACTCAGATATGTTAATTTTTTTTCAAAAAACGCTTAGTATAAATGGAAAAACAACTGACTAGGAAACAAAACATTACGTGAACTCTCTTTAGTAAGTAACAGACCGATCGATTACTTAAACGTTTAGGAATAGAGCTTGTATTCAAGTAAGTTATAGTGCTGAACTTACTACGAAACAGAATATACCAAAACAAGGAACAGAGTGGGGAAATAATAGGGTTGTATTTAATTCGACAACTGCAGCACGGCTGAATTTTATCAACTAAACCGCAATTCTGTTTAATGCGCAAAATATCCCTTCGCTGTTAAAGTCCTGCAAAATTTGGCTAACTGTTAGCGTTCCAAGAGCATCAGAAAAAAAGGTTCTTAAACATACCTTCATTATAAGAATGACTTCTTACAAACGTGGCCATGCTTTTATACAAGATCATGACGCAAAAAATCATGTAGTAGAATTCCATATTCCGTGTCAATTACTTCGGTCTACTTGAGTAAAAGTAATCTATTCTGTCACTGTCAAAAAGAAAAGCGTGTAGTGGAAACAAATGGCTGTGTACCCTATCAATTATTCAGTAAGTTTTATCATGCAGACAAGAAAACAAGATGTTATAGGTAGCCTGCGATCATAGTCCTTTGTTGGTGTGGGGAAAATGTTTCAGTCGAAGTAAGTTTTAATTAAAAAAAATATTAATTTCCATACGTGAAAAATCGTCGCTGTTATGCACGCAACTTAGTTGCGAGAAAGAAAGCCTGATAAAAATTGATAACGGTCCAGAATTTTCTTTAGCGCTGCTTTTTATGCAGAAATACGTATGTTATCAAAATAGCACATAGGATGGCTGTTTTCCCCTAGCGACCGACAGAGTCGGGGTCGGAGTCTTAATTGTCAGAAGCGTAGGACTTTACCATCTGGTGAAAACAGCGTTCTGATTCCGCCTACGACTCCGTCGTTTACGATCAAGTGAAAACTGGGTCGTCGGGATGGCACTGAAGCAGAAGCAGACGAACCAAACCAATCACAAAGCGTGGGAACGTGAATTGTGATTGGTTTATACTTCCCCTTTTGCTTCCGACTCCGACAATCTGGTTTTCACTGGATCAAAAACTGAAAAACGGAGTCATAACCAGAGTCAGAAGAAAATGGAAACGTTCTGATTCTTCTGCCTCCAATTCGGTAGCGCTTATGACTCCGATTTTTGATTTTCACTATGTCATAAGCGCTTTTACGACTCCGCTTACGATTCCGTCTCCCACTCCATCGCAAGTGAAAACCAGCCTTTTGGATCTCCATCGTGCCAGCCACCGTCTGTATCCTATTCTCATAAAATTAATGATTGTTCTGCGCGCCTTGCAGTTCCGTGCAGCCATATCTGCCTTAGGGCAATACCCAGCGTTATGAGAATACATGTAAATTTTACCAATAGTATAAAGGGGTACAGTTGACTCCCGATAACTCGAACCCTCGCTAACTCGAACCTCGCGCTAACTCGAACCAAAATCGATTTCCCCTGGATTTCCGTCATACATTTGCTGTAATTTTACCCTCGGTAACTCGAACCCTCAATAACTCGAAACTCTCGCTAACTCGAAGTAATTTTTGTTTCCCCCAGATCATTTCTATATAATTTTACCCTCGATAACTCGAACCACGTTTTGAGCCCTTAAAAAGTCGGGAAAAAACAGTGTACTGCCTCCGAAACATTGAATTTTGAATTTCCCATTGACGTGTTGTACGCATACAGTTTACTAGTGGATCGATGGTGGAGGCTGCTGTTGTTTATCACCGTGAAATCTAACGTGAAATAGCTTTAGTTCTCAAAAAGTAAAATGCATGCTCTATTTAGGCAACGTTTTGTTACTTAACGTTCTCATTTATAATCTAAAAGTATCTTTCAATTTTCACTCAACATTTCTACAGTTAAATGTGATTAAAATGTTCACTGTGTAGTGTAAACTGTTTTTTTTCCTTACTCCCGGCCATATTCTTCGAGCTCCCGATAACTCGAACCTTTTTCGATTTCACTTGAAGGTTCGAGTTATCGAGAGTCGACTGTAATTTAGTGTAAATGTAAAAAAGTATAACTGAAGGTCCATATAACGAAGGTTAAGACAGAATCGCAAAAGCAGCCCATAACTCTCTTGTTTTACACTGCGCATCACCTGCTGGCCATAATACGGCAATTTCAAAGGTTGCAATAATTTTCACCAGTCGCCTAAAGAGAGGTAAAAAGGGCCCTTTTGTGGTCCAAATGCTTTTAATAGCGATTTTGATAATTCTACCCGGCTAAAAAGGTG